TTTACATTGTGTCTGGCACCAATTAAGCATTCAACACTCTTCTGTGTTGGCAGTGTGTGCTGCTCTGCTAAGGAAGTTCTGGGTTCATCTTAGTCATAATTGCCAAACTTGTGACAGGTCATTCTTGGCAATGAAAAAAATCTTTTGGGATATCTCCAAATTTCTCTTTGCCTTGTTGCTATTTGTCAAATATATGGAAAGTCACTGAATGCCTTCTGCAGTGGCCTTCTCAAAACTTCAGGCAGATGTTGCTAACCAGTTGTATGCTGGTTAGTTCTGGTTGCTCAGTGTGACCTCATGTAGAGCTTGGACATCACACATGTTCCTGTGGTGCAATACCAACACTACTGTGTGCTCCTTCAGAAATAGGTTAGACTTCTTGTACTAAATTAATAGAAATGCATTCTGAAATTATTACATGGGCATGAAAGAAACAATCTGCATAATTTTGCAATAATGAGCGAGCTTAATTTAAATAGAATATAGTTTCCTTTATATACAGATGAAATGTGAATAGTGAAAAGTCTGGCACTATGTTAAACAGGGTGTTGATTTAATTTCTTGTCTTCGTTCATTCCTGACTACCAATTAAATTGTGCTTATTAGAGGGACAAAAAAGGAAGGAGGGCTAGTAAGATACAGCTATTATAAATACATTCAACTTTATATGAGACAAACCCTCAGAAGAAAATGATAACATACTTATCCAACTTTTTAAAATTTTGTTCTCCCGACTGTTGTTTTAAATTCTACCTGCAAAGTGCTTTGTAGCTTTAATACCACTCAGACTGATAGTTATCTTTTTCTCGCAAGAAGACATTGTGTTTAGGAATCTAGTGGCAATCCTAAACTTAGTTTTTCTTGGTTTTCACTCCTTCAATCCAACGTTCTGTCCTTAAGAGAAAAGTACAGATTCCTAAATCAGTATTTTTTAAAGTTTAATTAGTTTAAATCAGACCAAGATGTTCCGTCAATAGCCTGCAAGCGGGGCCAGGCAGGGCATTTAATGAGGGCTGATTGTGTTAGACAGAAGGTGGTTGAGATGAGGTTGCTCCTACAATACCTCTTCATCTCCTCTGCCCAGTTTCCTTTCCTGTGGAAAGGAAATTAGAAGCAGGAGGCACACAGAATATCTGGGGGGGTGGCAGCACTTGGCTGAGCCAAGGGCACAGCTTGCCCATGTGAGATTGTGGGGGCTGTGGAGTTTGTTGGCTTTCAGGCCAGCGCTTCAGGAAGCCTCAGACCTGGTGTGTGTGTAAGTAGCAGGTCTGTCCTTTGTCCCAGGAGAGAGGCCTCATGTGATTGCCCCTTGCCACTAGGAAAGGATGGGTGATTAATTGTTTTCAGAAGTGTCACTGTTTGTTTGAATTTGCCTTCTGCAAGTCCTTAGTCTAGGTTGCTGTGGAATTTTTGCACACTCATTACTGTAATATGCTATTACTTGTGTGAGATTTTTTTATATAATTTGGAGGGCCCTTGAGAGGTGAGTTAAGGGGTAGTGTTAATCACTAAAAGCACCATGTCAGCCTGGTTGTCTGTTCTGCAAGATCCCAGGTGATCTGAGGAGCACAGCACTGGGGAGGGCTGGGCCAGTGGGAATGCCTTTTGTTAGTGGGAGCCTCTTGGGATATGAGGGCTCTGGGCATTCCCAAAGCTGCTTTGACCTGTGCTAATCGTAGCCACAAGACTCGTATAAGTAACCACTGCAGCTCTGACTGAGTAACTGAAGACCCCAAAAAGGACTGGAACTTCCTTTGTCACATTCATTTACTGCCTGGTAGTCATTTCTTTTCCATGGCTGTCTTCCATTCCCACTGCTCTGCACCTGGTGGTATGATTGTCACTGCTTTGTGTAAATGTTTGCTCACACTGCTGCACTTTCTTGATAACTGCTTGAACCTAAAGAATGCTGAGTTGTGCTGCTTCTTAGCAGCCTGCAGTGCTGAACCCTCATTACTGGAAGATACTTGTGCTATGCATAGTATAATGTGGATTTTTAAATGTATGTATGTATATACTTGTTCCCTCTGGAAAGACTTATTTGTTTCTTTCTGTATTATTTTTTTACTTAAGCATCCTTCCTTTTATACTCTGCCTGATGATTTTCATCCTGCACTTCTGATTCTGGTTGCCTTATTGACATATGGGAGCCTACAGCTGTCTCTTGTTTTAATTAATCTGACAAAAGGAAAGAGTTGTCTTAAGTATTCAACTTGTAAAATATTTTTTAATTGATAATTTGTTTAAAAGTAATACATGGCAATTTTAACAGCCATTTCATCTATTTTGATTATGTGATAGTTCTTTTAAAAATTTTTGAATTGTGGTTGTAGTTGTTTTAGAATAGCAGAGAAAAGAAGATAGAATAGTTATTGAGTAAAACAATACCATGAAATGCCATTACTTTTAAACCTATAGGTAGTTTTCATAAGGCTTTTGGGGTGTGGCATTATGAAAACTCATTTTAAAAGTAGTCACTGAATGCATAATATTGCTTTAAAAAAAAATTGTCCTCATTTTTTTCAGCTATTTTTGTTGGATAATCCTGTTTCAAAAACCATTACTATTAATAGTAATATGGTGATGTTTCTACTTATTTTTAGGAGCATATGCAGGAAGAACCCAAAGAAAGAAGCAAAATGTTGTGATAATTTAAGAAGACAACATTCACTGGGATAAAATGTCTGTGTTTTAATGATGGCATTCTCAGCACTGATTTTTAATATTGCATTTTCTTTACATATATGTATATTTAGACATTATAAACCTACTTTGTCATTTTCAGATGACACATTAACACAATCGTATTGAAGCTGCTTTGAAGCTCTAATGCTTGTGGGAAAATTGCATGTTAGAACTTGTGTACAGACAAGTATTAATATATAAAAGATTCATAATCTTGTTTATTTAAAGACTACCACAGGGCAACATGAAGGTCATTTGTGACTTTTTCACACTTTCTAATTCTAGTGTCTGTCATGCTTTTTGCATTACATAAATTGCAATTTCTGTGTATAAGTGCCACCATAAGTAAGTCATGGGTATTTAGTTTCATACCATAAAGTTAAAGCACTTACTGTGAAAAAAAAAAAACCCAAACTTAATTTAAACAAAAGTGAGCTTTCAAGTCAGTAAATTTGTCAGGAGCTGTTTTGAATGTACTTTCCTTAGGAATGAGATTGGTTCAATTTCAGTACTAAAGGCCTTGTACCAAATGTTTTGCATTTCTGCTGAGCTGGACAGACGTGGTCCAGATTCACTCCTGGGCTGATGGACACATACTTACACTGACCAAAAATGTGCATTTATATGTGTGGTAGATCAAACCACTCTACTGAAAGAGCCCTGGGTTTTTATTGCCCTGCTGTCTACTGCATTTTCTTATGGAAACAACATCTGTCTGATATGGAGATGTGTATGTTCTACAGAAACTTCAGAAGGTAAGATTTTAACTGTTTTACCATTTCAGACTTAAATAGTTACTTCAGTCTGTAATAGTAATTCAGATATGTTACATTTAATTGATGACAGTTGCCGTTTTTCTGAGCAGTTTATCTTCTGCTGTGATCTAACAGGCCCTTGTACTGAACTCATGATTTCTGCAGGTGGGGAGCCCCTACCAAATCCCAACACTTAAATATTTATGGATATCTAACGTTAAAAGATCATGGTTGTGATTTTTCTTAGTCTTCCAACTGATGAATATTATCCACCAGCTTGAGGAGAGCATACTTCTCCACCTTCTTTTAATGAACTTGAGACATGATATTAACAAAGTTCTAGAGGGAAAAGCTCAGCTGTATAATTTTTGCAGTGGAGAACTGACTGACAGAATGTAAATTAAGTTATATTTTGTTACTTTCCCAGTGTCAATACAATACAACGCACTAAACTTTGGAGGCTTTGTAATGTGTTGATATGAATGTAAGAGAAAAAACATTAACTGAAAAGTTCATTGTGGTAAATAGCATGAAAGAGGATCATTAATAATGGGATGAGGACAGTACCTTCATGGGCAGTGATGAGTGGATTGGCTTGACTGTGGCACCAGCCTGTGGCTTTTATCTGCTACCGAGTCTGTCCTCTGCAGCACTTGATGCTGTTCAGAACAGGTGTTTTATACCAGGCACAAAGTTACCCAAATCCCATGCTTGGAAAATGCAAAAACACTGCCCAAGCACCTTGAAGAGAGACGCTGCTCGGTTTGTTTGAAAGTCTGGGACTGTGGCCTCCCCTAATGGTGTAAGTATGAGTTAACAGCAGTGGAAGACCTGCCTCCTTCATACAAATGCTGTGGTGCTTTAAAATCTCAGTTGTAATACAGAAGGTGCTCGAGGCAAGTTGCCTGCTCACCCGATGGGCATCAAAGCTGTGTTTTAGTTCCCAGCTTCCCTCAGGAGTGGAAAACATCTCAAGAGAGGAGGAATTTACAGTGACAAGAGCAACCTCTGTCACAGATGATGAAAGGTGCTGTTGATATAGCAGCATTAAAGATTGATGTTTTTAATGGATGTTTTATGTGCTGTATTTATTATTAGCATAGGCAATATGTTGATGCACAGATAGGTTTAGTGTGTTAGTAGAAATGAATGTTTCCCTTCTCTTAGGGTTTCACATCTAAACCTCTTGTTCTTCAAGCATGTTTCCAGTGTGTAATAAAGCATTATAGCACAAGGGTTTGTTTTTTCTTTTTTAACTTTCATGAGGCCTTTTTCTTGACAAGTGCCAGAATTTGGTTTTGTACTTGCTGTTTTGTATTTATACATATTTATCTTTTTATTTCGTGTGGAATTGTGGTACCATTACAGAAGTCTATTTATTTTTGTACTTTGTTTCATTTTCACCAGTCTCGCTTTTTACTTAAAGCATTCTGCACAATAAACTCTAAATCTTTAACAAGAAGCGCCTTTCTGTGCTGTTGGCGGAGCTTTGCGTTGTCCGCGCTGAGGGCGGGCCGGGAGCTGCCGGCGGAAGGGGCGGCCGGCGCGCGCTGTCATGTGACGGGGCGCAAGATGGCGGCGTTCCCCTGGTGAGGCGGCGGCGGGCTCTGGGGGGCTGAGGCGGGGGTGGCCACCGATGTGCCAGAGGGGAGAGTGCGGGGCCTCTCCGCCCGCGGGGCTCGGGGCAGTTCGGACAGTTCAGGGGACTGGGGGACGCCTGTGAATGGCGGGGGCAGCGGGGGCGCTGGGTGCCGTGAGACCGCTGCCCGGCGTACTGGCTGAGAAACCCGAGGGTACCGATGACATAACACCCCGGCTTTACACTGAGCTGCGCGGGTGCCGGGCCGGCACAGCTTTGCTGCGGGACGGAGCTGCAGCTGTGAGCCGGGTGGGACGCGACGGCCTCCCGCTATCGCCGCTGAGATAAGCAGGAGCTCCCCGAGCGCCGCCGGCTCTCCCCGGTGTGTTGTCATGGAGGTCTGCTCGTTCGGTGTCCTGCTCGGTGTCTGCTCGGTGTCCTGCTCGGTGTCTGCTCGGAGCGAAGGGCTGGAGCGCTCCGCCCGCCACCCCCGGCGGGGTCACTGCGGGCCCGCTGTCCCGCCCGCTCGCAGCTCGCCGGTGGAGATGAAGTCTCGTGCTGTGTATTTACCGATATTAGCATAGTTTAATCTCTGTTAGTTGTCTTTCACAGGCTCTTTAGAAGTAGACAGGGGCTACAGACAGAGGAAGAGTCAGCTTCTAGCAACTTGCTTTTACAGGAAAATGTGTACATCTCAGGAGGCTACACTGCGTAGGACATGGAATTGCTTAGTCTAGTATTTGGTAAAGGAAGGATAAAAGAAGCACTCGTTCTCTAACAGACAAAAGCAGTAGCAAAATAAAGCAGAGCAGCAGAGACGCTGAAAAACTGATTTTTACGTAGTACAGCAATGAGCTAACAGCCTAATATATAGGTCTAGTAACTGATGTAGAAGTGGCCATGGGGAAATAACCAGACCTTTACTCAGAGTAAGATGTTTTCCATCATGCTGTTTCTAATGAAGAAGATATTTTCATGCTATGGGGTTTAGCAGAACACTGGCTATTTTTAAGCAGTATTAATGCTAAAAAGCTGTTCTGTGGATTTATTGTCTGCATAGTCATCAGTCTACATATGAGGAAAAAAATAGCACCTGTTGATGCTGAAGAGTTGTGTTAACATAATGTTCAAATTAAGCAAATTTAAAAATTTAAACTAATTTGGTAAAGTAGTAAAAAGTATATAAAATAAAGTGTAGGGCTACAATGCATTTTTATAATAGCTATGCATAAATTTCTGGAGAAATTGTTTTTATGGTTAATACTCAGATAATGGTAGGTACAGTCACTATGGGATATGCCTCATTGTATTACCAATACCAATATATATGTAGTGTTGTTCCGTTTTATATGCCTGGCTCCTTTGCTGTGAGCTTTTTGAAATGCTTCCTTTAGGATAAGCACTGTCTCTGGGAGAGTGCTGTGTGCCTGAAAGCAGTCCCAGGAAAAAAGACGTTTTATCAGAAGGAGAGAAAAAGGTTGGTAGGCTGGCAGGTGTTAAGGGTGCCGAGTGGTGGCAATTGCAGTGGTGCTCATGTGTGGAAAAGATTGAAACCCACTGTTAAAAGAGCGCCTGAAGCAAGGATGTAATCATGCAGGATGCACAGAGTTGAAATCCCAGCTTGGCCAGAGTCTTATTTTTATTTCCTCTCAAAAGTTGGCTGCACTGCTGTGGCCAAGAAAGGAGTGCTTAATCTCCTTTCCCTGCAGAGTAAGCAGAACGTAATGCCAGAGCAATCTTGATCTCATCTTCTGTATTAGCTCTGTTACAAGCTGTCTTATCACTTGAATAGCCACATTGTAAAAATGTACTTTTTAAAGACTTCTTTGCAGAGTTTACAGCTCTTGTTCACTCCCACGTGTGTATTATTACCATGTGCACTTGCCCAGTGTCCTTACAGTAATTTGAATGCAGTTGATTTTGGCCTGGAGATGCTGCGAGAGCTGTCAACAGTTAAAGAAATGTTATAATTGTGTAGCCAGAAAGAATTTGGAAGATTTTTCACCCAGATTCTGATTAACCCATGATGCAAATGAGCAATAAGAGTCATTGAACAATAGGACAATAGCAAAAGATCAAGAAAACAAATAAGCATGCAGATTTCACTGGACTCTTTCTTTTGCTCTGCTCTATCTCACTAGATGTCAAAAGTTTCTCCTTGGAGTGGCACAACCATAAATAATCTAATCTGTAATTCTTTATTAAGGAAACTTGGATTTTTTTGGGTATCTGCAGAAGAGATGGCTGCTTAGCACTGCTGAAAATCTTCCAAATGAGTTATGGCTTTGAGTAGGAATGGAATTATTTGAAAGTTTGGATTAATTCTTGTGGGAAAGATGTGTGTTATAAAGGGGAAGTGCTGTTTGATTTCATTAGGAGTCTGATTTTACTCATTCAGCTGAGGCAGTAGTGTGTGCTATAAACATTCTCAGGATCTTGAACAAAAACAAAAGAACAGCAGCTCTGCATGTTTCGAAGACTGAAAAAAAGTACAACTAAATGGCTGAAAGTAAAAATTCTCCAGTTTTAGTTTTATGTTATCTCAGTAGAGGGAAATTTGGATCTTTATGTTTGCTTATTTTTCAATGTTTTTTTTTGTAAATAAGCATCTGTGTGTATGTAGGCTATGCTTCTCTCTTAGTATGTGGTAATTTATATGCATATACACTTTCCCTTCACTCTTTAAGGCATGCAAGATCAAGGAACTATGTGTCAGAATCTGAAGTATGCAAACTGGAATCTGTACCCTTGGACTTTGGCGATTACCATCCATTGAAACCCATTACAGTGAGTTTTTTTGTGCTTTAGGAAAAAGAATCTGAATTCAGACTGATTGTGTTCCTCCTTTTACCTTTTTTTATGTCTGTTCCTTTAAAATTAAAAGGCTTTGAGACTGGTGGTGGTACTTGTGAAGTTGCTTTCTGTGCTAGTGACCTGTTGTAGGGGCAACAAAGTTTATTCTGTTTGCCCTTTACAGAAGTTTGCTGGTGCTGTTTGGTGTCAGAAAAAGTCTCCTGACAAACACAGCACCTCCAGGTAGTAGGTTTTCTTGGTTGTATTAAATGCTGAATAATGGATAAATTTAAAATCAAATTGTTGCATTACAAATGACCTGCATAATTGCTTGATGTAAGGTTTGGTTTTGGGTTAGCTTCCACTCAGCTGTGTGCTTTAAAACATTTATAATTTCTTTGATGAGTAAGAGGCTTTTAAAGAGGTACAGAAAAAATCCTGCTTCAAAGAGATGAGTTGCCCACTAATGAATGATAAATGGGCAGCAGCTTCTGCTCAGGAAGGTCAGCAGGGAGAGAAGATGGTGGCTTGAGGTATGGATTTGATGTTCTAGGCTTGAGTGTTCATACGAGAAAAGTAAAGCTGAAACTGGCAGAGGAAATTAAATAGCAAGAAAGAGTTTGGAAGACAGGGACAAACCTAATAAAATAGAGGAGGGGTACTAGAAAGATATTCAGAGTGGTTGTTCTTACAATTTTGTAGACCTAGAATTGGAAGGGAAAAAAAAAAGCAGTGGAAATGCTACAGAAGAGTGAATGCCTCCAGATTCTTGGAAAAGGGGGGACCTTAATGTAAATGCTGGTGCTTATTCCAAAGAATTTGTTTGATGTCTTCTTGCTTTCATTGCAACAGCACAATTTACATAGCATATATTTGATGATTTATTAAAGAAAAGTGAGGGAAGAAAAAGCCTTTTTGTAAAATAGTTCTGAACTTTTTCTTTAGGTTACTGAATCCAAGACGAAGAAGATGAACCGGAAGGGAAGTACTTCTTCCACATCCTCCTCTTCCTCGAGTTCTATGATGGACCCACTGAGCAGTGTGTTGGATGGCACTGATCCCTTGTCATTGTTTGCAGCAGCTGCAGATCCTGTGACTACTGTTCCTCCCACGGTAACTCTGGGGGCAGTTAACTAAGTAAAATAAAACCAAAACCAAACCAAAACCATAAAGCCAACCCTGGATAAAATGTATTGTCTCACTAGTGAAGAGGTTAATATAGTAAATATACCATATTAATAGCATATTCTTTTTTGTTTACCTGCTTTTATCTGGTTTATGTTGACGTATTTATTTAAATAAGGATTTTTAAAAACTATTGTAACTTTTGAAAGGATCAGCTAGCACTTGAAACATTAAGTTGGCCTTTATCAGCCTTTTCTTCTTTTTCCAGATCTGTATTTAACTTTTGCACTGTTACAGGATGGTGCACGAAGGAAACGGGAAAAAGATGAGAGCTCAGCAGTAGGAAGTGACTTTGAACCATGGTCAAGCAAACGTGGTGAAATCCTTGCTAGATACACAACAACAGAGAAGCTTTCTATTGTAAGTGGTGGCTGCCACAGTTTTTTAATTTGTACTAGACCTTTAATGGATTTTGGATGTTGCTATTTTATAATTCTTTCATGGGTAAATACTGGTCTTCTAAATTTCAGTTTTATTGTTGTAGAAAACTGAATCACAAACTCTCGCTTGTAAAGATTGTTTTAGAGCTGAGTCCAAGTCTCTTGATATTTAGAAGCCATCACTTTGTCTTTTTTTAACAATGCAAATAACTTCTGATCTTGTGTCTTCTTCTAAATGATTAAAGAGTTAAATATCAGTGTAATTACCCTATGCATTCCTGGAATGCTAGTGAGTACATGTTTTCTAAGTCTGCTTTTTCTGCTTCCTCACAGAATCTGTACATGGGATCTGAAAAAGGTGAGCACTTTCTTTACCAGTAATAGGGTTTGCTTGAGGCAGAGTGCAGTGACAGGTTTGTGGTTAAGAATAGTTGAAATGTGTTTTCCTGCCTCCCCATTCTGACATCATGGTCCTTGCTTTTTTGTGGGTAAGATGTCCGGATATTTATTTAAAATAATTATTGAAAATAAGGCACCCATCCACCTTGTCTTTTATTCCTGTGGACTTACGAATTTGTGATTATTTCACTGCACTGCCTTCCACTGTAGCTTAAAACTTTCTTCCATTTAAACTGAGAAATGATGTTTTGAAGATCATGTTTATCAACTCTTCTGGTAGCTGGAAGGAAAGCAAACAAGTCCTTTGGGAACTTGTTCAGTTATTCTTTTTACATGAAAGTGAAGTGATTTCAACTGTATGGTGGGTGTTAAAAAAAGAACCAAATGTTAAATATTTTATCATGTTTTCTAGCAAAGAGAATCTGGGCAGTAATCATAGCATAGTAAATCAGGATTTTTATATATTAATAAACATGCAGCATTTCAGCATCTGCAAAAATATAAAATACTTCTTTACAATGAGAGTGGTCAAACACTAAAAATGGATGTTCAGACAGAGTGTGACATCTATATCCTTAGATACCTTTAAATTGACTGGATATAAACCTGTGCAACTGTTACAACTTAAGAATTGGATGGGCTTTTAGGAGGAGAGTTGGGCACAGACCTCCAAAGAGCTTTTCTATCCTTAATTATCCCATGGTTCTATCTGGTGATTATTTTCTTACTGGTAAGACTTGTGGGAAAATCCATTTATATCCAATTTTCACTACTTGTTACTACCCTTGTTCAAAGTGAATGAACTGTAGGTATGTTTAGATATGTGTCTTCAGGAATAGTCATTAAATTAATTGAACCACTTGTCTTCTGTCACAGAAGCTGGTCCATGTCAGGCTCCTTCAGGTTTGTTTCTCTTTAGAAGTCTAAGTGTTTAAATGTTAAAGAAAATTACATCTGTAATTCTTTTCAGGAAAATCCACAACTACTGGTTCAGCAGTTTCTGAAAAAGTGAGGACAAGGTTGGAAGAACTGGATGATCTGGAAGAGGTGAGAAAGTTTTCTGATGAAATTACAGCATCATTATAACAGTGAAAAGAATTGTGAAATAAAAATCTTTTGTGAAGCCTTTAAAAAAGGTCCTGATTCTGCAAGTGCACTATTTAGATAAAGATGTACTTTCTGTTGGAATCCTCTAGTAATTTTAATCCTTATTGTTACAGGATTCAGGCAGAATCATATTTTTATATCACTAGAAATTGTGTTTTCAAAATTCACCTGATCTACTGGTATTGATTTCCCTTCTTACTGCTGTAAAACTTGGTGGAGACCTGTAGTCTTAACATCTGATAATTCTGGTTACCCCTGTTGCAGATGCTGCATATGTTTACCTGAGTTTAATTTAAGTTACAGTTATGAGCTTGATAGAAATACTGAGTACTGAAGTTATTTCTCAAGCTGCAGTATTTTATTGTGCAAAAGTGAGATGTTTCATAAGCTACTTTCCTAAGATCTGAAGGGAAGTTGTAATAAATTTTGTAGGATTCTCCCCCACAACATGGTGATTTGAGTCTATAACAACACTCTCCTTCCTTCCTTCCCTCCTGCTCTTATTAAATGGGTTTGTGTTTTCTTGCCAGGGGTCGCAGAAAGAGCTGTTGAATTTGACTCAGCAGGATTACATGAACCGAATTGAAGAACTGAACCAGTCTTTAAAGGATGCATGGTCCTCAGATCAAAAAGTAAAAGCTCTCAAAATAGTAATCCAGGTCAGTTTTATATCTTTGTTCTATGCAGAACCAGTGAGATAGGTGATATAACTTGTCCAGTTTCCTTCTTGGGAAAAGAAGGGTTTCTACTTTTTTTTCTGTTACTTTCTTTTGTTCTTCTCTGAAGCACATTGCTTCTAGAGTTTTATGACTTCTGACAATAGTTGGATTTTCAGCTTTGTTGTTATGTATTGGTTTTGACTAGGTTAAGTGGGATGGAATTCTCACTGAGTCACCAGATGACAGATGTGGAAATTTTACCTGCTTAAGGATAGTTAGAACAAATAGCATGTAGCAATATCAGCTCTTTGTAGGACATTAATTTACTTTTCTGTCCTCTTCTCCTTCAGCCCCTTGCTCCCCACAAATAATACCAGAATAGCTTTTTGAACACCAGAATTTTACCCATCCAGACTTAGAAGGGCAATTAAATAAAGGGATTTAGGACCTTAGCAAGCTACCAAAAACAGCTCCAGATTTTTAAAATTGTGTGTATGGGGTTTGTTTTTGTTTGTTTGTTTGTTTGAGAACTTGTGCATAGTCTTCCTTCGGGTCATTTGGGGTGATGTGCTTTGAGGAGGGCATGGGGAAATAGGACAGTTAAATGCTCTTTTGTTTGGTTTGGCCTTTAAAAAAGGCCAGAGGCAGAGTGCAGCAGAGGACGGATGAGATAATGACATCCTTAAAAGCTGTAAAACTGATGTAATGCTCATAGTCATCCAGGGGGGTTATATAAAGTCAGGATTTTTTTGGTCATTATGGATACTCTTGTGAAAACTGCTTGAAATAATTTCATCTTAAATTGTGGTAAAGACAAAAAAGGAAATGTAACATTAATGAAGTGAGATCAAACAATGATATGTGACCTATGGTGACTAATGTACTATTGTAATACTATGAAATCAGCACTATTGTTCTTTTTTAAAAAATCCATATATAGGATTGTGAAGTGTGAATATTGTCTTTGGATGAGAAGAAAAGCAGCAGGGATGTACTGTACTTAGAGTGTTTTGTGTGTAAAAATATATATGTGTGTGATAATGAAGTGATAATCTATGCATTGATACTTTCATATGTTCTTTTGCAACTGGTTCACAAACAATTTTGAAATAATGTAGTTTCTAACAGGTGATCCAGTGCTTCCTTTCAGGAAAGTGGTGCCAAAGTTGAATGTGTTTTATCTCTGCTGAAGTGTTGTTCACCTAGCACTTAATGCTGCAGATGCTCATCACTAATTGAAAGACTGGCTAAGAATGAAATAGGTACTTGTGTAATAAATGAATTGAAAAGTTTAATGAAGGATAATAATTCTATAGTTATTAAGCAGGATAGGGTAGAATCCTCATTGAACTTTACTTGTGCTTCTTCCTGCAGAGTGCTGTATCCCCTGAATGCGCTGAGCAGTTCTCTTGGCATCAGGCTGTGGTTATATGCATAGTCTGTCATTATTATTACAGACTGGTTAGTATGCAGTAGGAGGAGTGAGTTTGACTTCTGGTTAGGAAAATTTTTTCACCTGAAGGGTGAAATCACTTGACCAGAGTGCTCAGGGCAGTGGTGACATCACTATCCTTGGAGGTATTTAAAAGATGTGTAGATGTGGCACTTGGGGATATTTTTTATTGGTGATCTTGGCAGTGATGGATTAAAGGTTGGACTCAACAGTCTTCAAGGTCTTTTCCAACCTAAGCAATTCCTCAAGTGCCTTTTTTCAAGATACTTTACTTGTCAAGTTGGAGTTGCTAAGTTGGAGTATGCTAAGCTACTTAGAGTAAGCTGAAGTAAGTTGATTATGTGTGTGAGTTCTAAGAAAAGTGGTAATGGTGATGGAGAGAGAAAGGATGGAGCTCATAGAAAATAGTGTCAGTCTTGGAGACCAGAGAAAATGCCAGGCCAGAGGCCACATTTGGCTTAAGCAAGGAAGAGGTGGGTTTCTCTCCCCAGTCAGTCATTCCCCTGTTTTCTTTTGGTAGAAGCTGGTTTTTTGTGAGTAACCTTCTGCCAAACTTTTTTGACTCCAGTTTAATCTTGGAAAACAAAGTATAGCTTAATTAAATATCTTAGAAATATCTTTATTCCTCAGTGTGTATTTTGAATTCATACAATCAATGGACATATTTCTTCTTGGCCTGAATGAGAGTAGAACTAAGTGAGTGATAGATTTTCAAATGTGACTGTGTACCAGCCATCATTGTAGTCCAAATGCCATGATCAGGTTGTGTCCCAGTGGGTGGTGATTGATTACAGAGTCCTCCCTGGAGCTGGCTGTCCCTCAGTCTGTTTCCAGAATGATTGAACTAGTTATGTCAGCTGCAGAAATGCATTGGAAAGCTCATTAACTACACTCTTAAAATTGTTTCTTAATTTAATCTATATTACATTTTGTGTTTGATATGGATGCTTAGAGAGATGGTGAAAAACTGAACGCCATCCTTAAAAAAAGTGATTTTAGAGAAGAAGTGCCTTTTAATGCTTTGTCAGGGAGTGAATTAGTCTCGCCTGAACAAATGCACAGATCTTCATGGTCACCTGATACTCAGCATTGTAGGTTACCCTGTATAAAAGAAAACCAGGTCTGTGTAGCTTTGGAAATGAAGCCTGAAAATTACAACAGGCACCATGGTCTGCTATGTTAAATGTCCTTGTGCTTCATAGTTCATGTTGGCCCTTTGCATCTGTGTATATTCATCCATTCCAGCTTTTCTGGAGTAAAAACGCAAACTTGTATTGGCTTCTAAAAATGTTTGTTTGTTTGTTTTTTTCTCCTTCTAGTGTTCTAAGCTTCTCTCAGACACAACAGTAATCCAGTTTTATCCAAGTAAATTTGTTTTAATTACAGATATCCTTGATACTTTTGGTGAGTATCTACTGTGCCAGACTTATTACACAATTGTTAATAAGATTATTTTTTGTAATGTTAGAAAGCATCAGAGTTATCCAAAAAGGATTTAGTTTTAACATGGAATATTTCCAACAAAAACATTTGGACACCAATAGTAAACATGGTATATAATTGTAGAAAAATCTCCTAAGAGCAAAGTCCTTAAGATAAAAATACTTAATATTGTGGTTCTGTCCTTTAGGTATTAGTGAACATCTAGAACAAAATGTTAGGAAAAATCATGATCTCTGAATTTTGAAATTTAAAACACATTGTCATTATAAAAATATTTTGATTTTGGCAGCCTTTTGACTCAATATTTCATTATTTTTGTATTTGAAGAATAGAAGTCAGAAAGTTTTCTTTGGCTGAATAGGGACTATAAAATGATCAGAATGTAGTTACTGATTTTTTTAATATATTTTTAAACTTGTGAAATTGTCGTCCACTTCATGTGACTCTATTATTTTTCTGCCATGTTATGGAAAAGATTTACAATGATATTCAAAGTTGAAGGGTATTTTGGTGCCAGCAGGATATGCTACAACATAGATCCAATTGTTTTTTCAGGCCGTGCTTCCTCTTTGTGCTCCTTCCTACTTGCTGAAAGCTGCTGGAGATAACATAATATCCAAACTCAGTAAAGTCAGGACACCAGCTGTCCTTTCCTGGCCTGGGAGGAATCTGACCTGTGTGTTACCTCTGCACTTAAGGGAGCCAGAGAATGTTTTTATAGTGTGAGAAGTGCTAAATCACATTTCAGCCTCACTAGAGGGCAGCAAAATGTCAGTGTTCTAGGAAGCTTTTTCCATCTAATTTCAGTCTATGTTGGAAACCTTTGTACCAACATCTTGTGTTTTATCATTTGTTAATTTGTTTTTATTTTTTTATTTTTTAACCAGGGAAACTGGTGTATGAAAGAATTCTGTCAATGTGCGTGGATAACCGAGTCTCTCTACCAGGTAACTTTGTGTTTGTTTCCACTGTGCTCCAGAAAAAAAACATGCCCAACCTTGAGGAAGGTTAAACAGGACCATTGCTACTCTATCTCCTGTAGAAACAGTTCTGATTTGAATCTAGTAGCTTACAGTTTTTAACAGAGTAAAATCCATTGCTTTCAGCTTCTGCTGTCCACAGTGTTCATGCAAAATTACGTTTTAATTATGAAGGATATACCTAAGATATAATGAAGTGTGCATGTGGCTCTGCTGTTACTAAATGTAAACTGGGTCTTCCTGAGCTTGAAATCACAAAGAATCATGTAAATTCTCTAATACAGATTTTATTAGGAGGAGGGAGAATTAAACAGGAATGGCCAAATTAGATGAAGGAAGACTTCTTTTTTTTCCTTCTTTGTCATAGTATATGCTCTCTTCTGGGAGTACTACAGTTTAGTAGCTTAAGGTTAATGACAGAAATGTAACAAAGCTAAGAGTCTCAGTTTTTGGTAAATAGATGTTTTTGTTGCTACACTGAAAACTTGATAGTTTTGCTGTAATAAAAGGAGAATTTTGGAAGTAGCAGCAGGCTGTTTCTAGCATAATCTTTATCTTTTTTCAGTTTAAGTTCCAACACAATGTAAAAATCTAATTTGACATTGCAGGTGAAAGAACCTCTTTAGCAAGAAATTGAAACATTCCATGGAAAACATAGGCATTTCCTGGCAGTTTGGAGTGCATTAAGTGCACATCCTTGCAAGATGAAACATTCTGTAGTTGGCAGTGGAACAGTACCATTAGTTTGCAGTTAAATCCATAGGATTGGAGCTGTAAACTAGAAACTGACAAATACTGAAATTTGAAATGAACCTAGAGAGAACAGTTAAGATAAACTTGGTTGTTGCAGATCTGTCAAACTGCTCTTACAAACATTAATGAAGGCAGGCAGTTCCCATAGCACGTCACAATTTCTGGGCACAGTTGCCTCTGTTTTGGAGAGCTGAGCTCCTGCTGCAGCTGCCAGAGGCATTGCTGGTGGGAACTTCCCAAGCAGCTCTAAAAGCAGGAGAGAGAAGGAAAATCTGTGCTGTGCTGACTGTGCATGTGAACCTTTGGGGATTTCAGGCCCAACCTCTGAGCTTGTCCCTTGGGGACCAAATGAAAACAAAGTTCAATGAGAACTCCTGAGGTCCTAGATGAGAAAGATACTGAGTGCAGGGAGTTCTAACATGTGGCTTCTCTTATGTTGGAAGTCAGAAACTTTCTTGTGGAGCTTCTTATCTTGTGGAGGCAGAATTGGGAGAGCACTGGTGTTCTAAATGGTTTCACAAGGAGTTTGTGAGGGGTTATGTTCAGTGTGCAGAAACAAGGTTTTTGTCCATATTCATTATTTCCTACTTCTTGCAATAGCATTATTTAAAATTTATATTAGCCTTTTAAAATAAACAATTTTAGTGCTTAAATCTCTTTTGCATGTTCTCTAGTCATTATAGATTTATGTACGTGTGTTTGTTACAGATTCTCTGTATTTTCTTTTTTTTTACAATTTCTGATTTTGGAAGAGCAGAGGCAGAGGTTGAATTCTCAGTAGATGCTCTGAGATAAGCCCCAAGTGCTTGAATTCAGGTTCTGAAATGATATTTACTACAAGATTGTTACCTTTTCTTGTTATGTACTCAGCTCTGACTGCTGCTCAAGAGAGCTGAGAAGCAGATGTATTGCCAAGCTTATTATTGTGCACTTCATTTCTTGATGAATGGAAAGAGAGTACAGTTTTAAACCTAACATGAATAGTAACTTGTTTACAGAAAGAATGTAACTATTTCTGAGTTGTTTTCCCAGATAATTTTTCTCCAGAGAGTGTTAATGATACGGCTAAAGAAACTTGCTTAAACTGGTTTTTCAAGATTGCTTCAATCAGAGAACTCATTCCCAGATTGTATCCTTGTCAAATGAGACCCTCGGAGTGTGTCTGCAGTTTTTTTGTAGGTTTTTGCAGAAGTGAATATGTTTGTTTCAATAAAACCCACAGGACCTGATGTTTATACTGGCTTTGTTTTGTTTGTTTCAGGCTGTATGTTTTGAATGTACTTTTGAGTCATGTTTCATAGTAAACCGAATGCTTAATTATTGGCTCTGAGCAGTTTGGCAGTGACAAAATAGAGATGATGCATGAAAAATTTTGAAATAAAATTATGTAGATAAATTGTAAAAATCAGCAAAGTGTAGTGACATTAATTAGAGAAGGCCTTAAAATAGTTTGGTCAATATTCATTTGGTGTATGTTTGCTTCAGGTTTTTCATTGGTGTGAATCTTAGTTTTTTTCCTTAACTTGGCTTCAATTTAGTTATGTGGAAGCAGCAATACTGAAGTGCAATAAATTCCTATCCAAAACGTAAGAATGATGTTAAATATGGGAAGGAAGTGAATGGGCAGACTTTGGAACTAATTCAATGAATTAAGCATGAGAGTTCTATGATTAGTAGTGGGTAGGATCTTAGCAGAACTGAGAAGCAGTACAGAGAAGTTTAGGAATTTTTAATGAGAATACCATGAAAAAAATTAAAGGTGAACTGTGATATACTTTGAAATACAATGGTGCTCTCAGTTTTCAAATGTATGTACAAATGTTGTGATATCAGGTATCACAAATCCAAAATTGTGCAAATTGAAAACTAGTGGCTTCTGATGGTGGAGGGAAAGGAAGATTTTTGACATGAGGAGTGGAAAAAGACAGGATAGAAAAGTGAAAGGAAAATATTGATGTCATAGTGGGAGAGACAGAGTAAGAGAAATCATTTAGGAACAATGAACCTCTATCTATTGAAAACTTTGGTATAAGTTTAATGTGTTGCCAAACAGTGCCAGCTGCTGAGCAGAAAATGTTCCTTCCCTTATAATTGTCCTTCTTCAGTTATATTTTGAAATGAGTATTGGATGCCAAATTGCTACTATAGTGACAACTTTATTATCCCTAAAATGCAGTTCTTTTACTGGAATTAGTGGGCCTCATATCCAGGCACTAGTACAGCTCTGTCAAAAAGGACCTGTGGGAAAATGAGACATGGAAGGAGTTCTGCCAATTCTGCTTTAAGCATCTGGTGTCCTTACATTGAGTTACAGCTTTTCCATAGCTCTGCTGTTTTCCGAGCTAGAGGAGGAGTTCTTTAGTTTTGTCTTGCTCTGAATAGCAAATACTGCAGTTTGAATATAGGATATGTACTACTGTACAAAGAGAATTTTACTTATGAAATAAATTTTTGTGCTAGTATCCTTTATCTTTGATAGATATTTCTATAACTCATGCTCAATTCTTAGCCTACAAGGCAGCTACTAAAGTTATCTGTAGGTGATACAATTCTGTTATTGACTGTTGAAGCTCATTTTCATTTCTGATAAAAACAGGGGCATTTCGGAATGTCTCCCACGGTTAACATCTATGATCAGAGGAATTGGAGATCCACTGGTTGCAGTCTATGCCAGAGCATACCTTTGCAGGGTAGGCTGTCATTTACCTCCTCTGATCTGTATCAAAGATTTATTGCAGCCAGTGCTGCCACTGCTTCAAGGAACTACTGCTTTTGTCTCAAGTAGTCAGCAGCTTGTCTCTTTCTTTCAGTAGACAAACAAAAAATTACTTCTCTTCTGTTTTATGAATGGGGAATCTCTATTTAAGTGTTTGTAATAAGTAAGAATAATTTCATGTGCTGCTGTAGGTTGTTGCAGTGCACTGGAGTAGATGCTGATTTCCTCAGTGCTTACAGATATTTGAGCTGATGTTAGGATCTGTTTAAAAACAGCTGTAACTGCCTCAGGGTAGTTTCTAGTGGGCATGACTATAATAGTAAGCAAGGAAATAATCAGTCAAAAGCATGTGATTCAGTGCTGTTTGTTGATTTGATGTGTGTGACTTGGGTGTATTCCTTCAAGAAAGGCATTTTTATCTCACTGTGAAGGAGAATTGATAGAGGCCTATAAAATATTTTTCTTTTAATACAGGTTGGGATGGAAGTAGCACCACAACTCAAAGAAAGCCTGAACAAAAATTTTTTTGACTTTCTCCTAACATTTAAACAAGTAAGCAAATAAGTGTTTTATTTGCAAAATCAGATAAATACACTCCTTAATCAAACTGTCACATACTTCAAAAGAATCTTAGAAGTTCTCAAATGTAGGGGTGTTTCTGCATCCAGATATAGTATGGGAAATTTTACATACATTCTGATAAGCTGAAACTGCTCTATTCAGCATGTTTTCAGACTTGAATAATATATGTTAGGAGCTTGATATATTTTTCTGCCAGCTTGCAAGGAATGCTTCAGAATATCTGTACTTTTCTGCTACTATCTGTTGTTATTTCCATTCATATACAAACTTTGACCTGTTTGGCATATCTCCCATTAAATACCTTTTCACAGCAACATGTTTTGTCTCTTATTTCAACAGATACACGGGGATACAGTTCAGAACCAGCTGGTGGTGCAATGTGTGGAGATCCCTTTGTATTTGACCCTATATTCTCCTGCTATAGACTGGATTTTGCAGTGTATTGCATACCATGCTCCAGATGTAAGTGAACGTGGTAGTGTTCAATACTAAAGGAAGTGTTGTGGTGGAGAGTTAATTTTGCCTACTGAAAAAACCACCCCTCAGGCAGTTCTTACATGAGTGTGAAGACGAGTGAAAAAAGCCTACATAGGACTGTCTGATGCTCTTTTCTGTATGGGAACAATGTTTGCTTCCACAAAGCTCAGGTGTGACCACTTCAAGTTCATAGGCAGTATTTCTGTTTGTTTCTTGCTGTCTTTAGCTAGTTTAATCTTTATTTCCTGAATTCATCAGTTTCTTCTGTCATACAGATATACAAATGATTTGACTAAAACAGTAGCTTAACATAGTTAACAGGCTGTTTCAACCTCTGCCAGTTTGGCAGAGTTTTTATCTCTCCTGCCAGAGATAACTGACCTGGCTGGCAAATAGTGATTACCTGTAGCAATGGCATGGATGAAGGATTGCAGATTTGACTTCCATAAAATGGTGGTTTTGGTTGAAATGCCACTGTACCTGTTCCAGAAGATGTGTTTTATGTTGTGCTACACCATTGTTTTGCTGTAAATATAACATAAGAGAGGACTGTTGGAATGTATTGAAGAGATAATTAAAACACCTTTTAATAGATTTCAGTACAGTAATTAAGCTAAATATATTTGCAGAATTTCTATTCACTAATTTTAATAAGTAATTTTTCCAGGTTCTGCTTACTGAGATGATGGAAAGATGCAAAAAGCTGGGAAACAAGTAAGTGTTGCAGAGTGTAGAAGACAGGAGTCTGTAATGAGTACCCCTGAGTCCCTGGAATAATGTTCTCTCTCTCTTTTTTGGAAACAGTTTGGATGCATAGTGCAGCTTTCATTCTCCCAGTAGCTTACTAAATCATGATTATGAACATCTGTTTTCCAGAGATGAATTCTAAAATATGGTAGATTACTTGTCAAGCCAAAGTTAATTAGTTTAACTTGGTTGCTGCATTCTGGCTCGTAAGCCAAAGTCTAGGAATCCTAATGTGTTCTCGGTTAGCCACATCTCTAATTCCTGGTTTTGCTTCACTATTCTGGCTTTTCCTCCCCTTCTTTCCTCTATCCTCCGCTGGCTACTGGCAGGCCATACATGCATTCAGCAAGTGAAGTTGTAAACCTGCTGGCAACCTTTGGAACGTGGTAATACTTAGGGAATTGCTTTTTCAATATTAAAATTAGTATCTCAAACATCTCCTAGAAGTCTTTGTGCAGGGTACTTGGGTTCAGGAAGATGGTCTGGTCTGAAAGTTGGATGTACTTACTGAGATTTGTGAATGCAGTCTGCCTTGTTGATGGGCTCCTCTCTGTTCATTTTTATTGGGTAGCTTGGCTGAGTTCAGTAAAAGTTTTTTAGCTATCTATTTTTTTTTCTGATGTGCTTTGTACAGTACAATTCTGCAGCAGCTGAAGAACTAAAATATGTTAATCACTTTGCTGAGGAATGCCAGCATTCTGTGACTGAGCTAAGGAGCATGGGGAAAGCATGATTTAAAAAATGTGCTGTGAAAGTGGTATTGTATCAGAGTGTGTAGAACAGATAAAAATAATTCACATTCTCTGATGTACAAATTGTTTTGGACAGGTATTGATTTGTTTTGTGGAACTTACTTTCAAATCAACTTTCAGCATTTTTCACAGTGAAGATGGGCTAGGTTCCTCCTCTTTGTTCCTGTTTTCTCTTTGAAGAAAGGATAAAATGTTGAGTATAATGACTTTATTTTAAAGAAATGTATTTGGGACCTGTCTTTTTTATTGGGAAGTTGAGTAATCCAGTTTAAAACAGTAGTCTTCCAAAGTGGAGTTCTGTGTTTTTGTATCTTCTCATGACTGTCAAAATATTACAAAGCAAGAGGCATCAGGATATAAATCTTTAAATAATCTCAATATGTTCCATGAGCTACTTTGCAGCCATCTAAGTGAAAAGTGACAGCCTGCTCTCTGTATTGCAAAGCACAGACCTGGTGAACTGGAAGTGCTTGTCTAATGATAAAATGCAAATTCCAGTCAAATTGTGATGAGACCACTAAGGCTTAGGCAGAAACACAGAAACTGCTGGGTTATTTTAAGCACTCCACAGAATTTCCCTCAAGGTAAACTGCCTTGTATTCAAACTGTCTGTTTGAGACTGGTGAAGGGCACAATGTTTTATGAGGCAGCTTCTTGAGCTAACTCATGGCTGAGTAAACTGGATGTTACAGGATGATGCAGGGAGTTCACTCTTCCATTGTGGCTTTGGCTTGATGGTAACACCAATACCTGTCTGAATGTTTAATCAGAAATGTCTTTATATGTCATTGTCAGTTATCACATGACTGTGACTTCGGATTTATTTTAATCCTATCAATGTGGCTTTTATAATGCATATATAATTAATTAGTAAAAATTTAAATAGAGATTTGCTGTCTCTAAGTATTCTTCTGAACTGTAGTTAAACAGAGAGTAAGTTTCTAAATGTAAGCTACTACTGGTTTGCTTGATATTTCTAGAAAATTCCTGCTAAAATGATGGCTTCAGAAACACCTGCGTGGAATAAGTATTTTACAGGCTGGGTTACCTTTTCTTATCTGGTGGCTTAATGTTTTCTTGTTTTTCTTATGCATTATTAATCCTCATCAAAGCAGGCTTGATTTGTGTGAGAGTCTTTTTTCCTTATTATCTTTCTTCTTTTAAAATTTACAATAGATGCTGGACAGTTGTTAGCCTAAGAAGTTCAGATTAATGTAAATGCAGGTATTACTAAATCTGGGTTGCTGTTGAGCTTTATTGATTTATGTTGTGTTCATTGCAGTGCTTTGCTGTTGAATTCAGTAATGTCGGCGTTCAGAGCAGAGTTTATTGCTGCGAGATCAATGGACTTCATTGGCATGATTAAAGAGTGTGATGAGTCTGGATTCCCAAAGGTAACATTTTGTATCTAATTTGTAACAATTCCTTTTCTTTGACAGAGGTCTTTATGCTCTTAGCTGCCAACATAACTTGTGTGTCACTTGAATAAAGTTTTTCAAGTGTTTTGATCTGAAAATCTTTCTGCACACTGTACCTGCCAGACCAGTCTTGGAGGGACGTGCATTGTCTGCTTTTAATTAAAAAATTCTCATTAACTTTCAGCATCTCCTCTTTCGCTCCCTGGGATTAAACTTGGCATTGGCTGATCCTCCTGAAAATGATCGCCTTCAAATATTAAATGAAGCCTGGAAGGTTATAACAAAGCTGAAGAATCCACAGGTGAGTTACTGTCCATTCTGTTTCACCACTGATTCTGTGTTTAGAGCAAAGCTGTAGCCAGTTGTTCAGTAAGCACGTGCTTAGCATGACATTGTTAACCTTTTCTAAATGCACACAGCTGCAAAAAAAAATGTGATGGCTGTAATATCTTTGGGTCAACCCTGCTTTTCTTAGCTCTTCTGAAGCACAACTTAATTTTACATAACATTATTAAACAAATGCAGTTTTGGAGGCCTAGATCCTTAGGTCTGCATGAATCATACCTCAGGAGTTAATTCTTTTAAATGTAACTTTTGCAAGTGTATTTCTCAGTCTCCTGCAAATATTGGTAATCATAAGACACATGTTTTTCTAGGATTATATCAACTGTGCTGAAGTGTGGGTGGAGTATACGTGCAGACACTTTACGGTAGGTGAAAATTACTTTGTTTCCTTTGAATTTTTCTGATACAGAATAAGTGGCTGTTTTAGCAGTCTGGTATTAAAGATGGAAAGGCTTTGACTATTCTGTATAAATGTGTAGGAATGAAAAAATGTGTTTCCTTTCATGAAAGATGAATGAGGACAAAAGATGCAGCTTTGAAGCTTTACTACCCCACAGCACTGAATGTTTCTTATCCTTTCGTTTTAATGGCAGATGGATCAGTTTAAGTAAGGATTTACTGGAGCTATGGTTAAAGTTCATGGCTTAACTAGAGCTCTGTAAAAAGCTGATGCTTTGGCAAATGGAAATAAATTATCCTCCTCAACTGGTGTTTAGTGACTCGATTTATGTGCCAATTTCATTTTGTAACCTTGGTTTTTGCTACACAGAAGCGAGAGGTCAATACAGTTCTGGCTGATGTTATCAAACACATGACTCCCGATCGAGCATTTGAAGATGCTTACCCACAGGTAAAGAGTTTATTTTGCCAAATCTGTAAAAATCTGATACACATTTTCTTAAATGGGATTCATTCTTAAGCATTGCTGATAACTCTTGTAATAAGATAATTATTTTTAAACACTAGCTATAATTTGGGAAGCCTCTTGGAACACTGTAGTGGTGTGATTTATTCCTCCTTTTTTGCCATGCACATCAATCTTTTAATTTTAAGAAATGCTAAACCTGAATGATGTATCTATTTAGAAGTAGCATTAGTTAACTCCTACATTAACAGTGGTGTTTGCTGAAGGAAATTGGCAATCATGGTAGGTTGTATAAACAGAAGAAAACCATAAAATAATCTATCTCTCCTTGGCATTGTTAAGGCTTCAGTGAATTATTGTGTCCAGTTCTTGAGACTGAATACCAAATGAGATATGGATTAGTTGAGGAGGTTTTTGTGGTTACTTGAGGGCTAGAAAAAATGCCTACAAAAGAATATGGGTTTTGGGTTTGGCTTTTTTTTCTTTATTTATTTGGCTGAGTTTTTTAGTGCAGAGAGCTGGAGGACATGGAGATTCTAAATTTGAAAAAATGTGCCTAACTATGGAAGTGAAGAGCAAATAAAGCCTGGGCAGGCTGGTCAGCCTCTGTTCAATATGGGTTCTGAAGGGTATGTAGGAATAGCTATAGTTTGTCCTGCTTTGGGGAAAGAAATTATGTTGATGAATGCTTAAAGCATCTTTCAAAACAGTTTTCTATGAATAACTAGAGAAGAATAATCGCTGGTGTGGATAGTCTTAATTTAACTCATATTACAATAATTTCCCCTTTTTTTTTAACTTTTCCTTTTTCTTCCCTTTAGCTGCAGTCAATTATTCAGAAAGTTATTACCTACATCTATGACTTTGCTCTGCTTTTTTCAGTGGTAAGTGATATGCTCTTTAATAAAATTTTAAGAACTGTTAGGTAGTTTTTCTGCAAGATAATTTACCTTAACTGGGATATTTAGATTATTTACAGGTTCACAGAATGCAAGGACTTTTTGACAAGTAGCTAAGTGCAGAAATATTTTGTGAGCTTTCTTCTGCTTACTACTTTAGTACTTATTATTCCAATTCCAGTTTTCTATACTTTTTTTCATTAGGCTGTTAAATTCTCTAAGTTTGTTTGTTACTGTGGCATAATGACAATCAATGGAAGATGAAATACCATTTATTTGTGTGTGTTAATGTAATTGCTGGTAGCTGTTTCTGTGTTATGATGCATACTTAACATACCCTCTCGTAGCACTTACACTTGACACTGAAACAAAGTGGAACTCAGAGAGGTCGGAGGCTGTGTATGAGGTATAAAGACAGCAGACAGTGTGTGTCAAAGTACAGAAACCATTTGAAGAGTGAAACTCAAGACTGGTGCTGTGCATTTGGGGTCAAGTCTTGTTCACAAATTGCTTGGATAATTCTGAAAAACTTATCTTCAGTATATTCTTGAGATGATACAGAAACTAAGCGTTTTAGTGTATTAAACAACATAGACCCTTGTTTTTTGAAGGAAATTTGAATGTCTTAGACCTTTTAACTTTCTCTGGATAGAAGTTGTTGATGTGTGGACTATTTTAATTGTTTATAATATCTTACCTATTTTTCCCCATGGATCTCTGAATTTGTCATGATTTTCAGCTGTTTGAAGCATATGATTGCTTTTAAAAATAAAGTGCAACATTTGATTCAAACAGTCCTGTATTTTGTGTTCCCTTCTAGATCTCTGCAATCTGTAAATTGATTCATCTTGCGAACATCAGTCCTTTTCCATTAGTTCCACTTTTTCATCCTTTTAGATGAATTACTGTTTTCAGAAAATATGAAAATAGTTTTACCTAAACAGCTGTGCTTATAAAACGTATCCAAGGTATTTATTGTTTTAGTGTGTTCTTTGTAACATGCCTAATTTTACTTGTTTATATATTTGTACTTTCAGGAGAAATTCTTGCCATTTCTGGATATGTTCCAGAAGGAAAGTGTGAGAGTGGAGGTTTGCAAGTGCATTATGGAATCTTTTATTAAGTGAGTAGAGACTGTTGAAGTGAAATGCACTCTGGAAGCTCTGAGAAACTTACAGAAAGATGGCTAGGAAAGAGGAATCAGTATATATTGGCTATTTAGTTTGTGAAGGTGTTCCAGGGTATTGGAAAGAAGAAAGAAAATGTGTCAGTTTTGTTAATCTATTGATGGACTGTTTGACTGCTCACAAAGAAAGCTGAGTTGAAGTAATTATATTGATGCTGACTTGTTGTGGGTTAAGAGAATAGTTGTTCTCCGAGCTTTTTATTCTTTTTTTGTGTTGCCTTTGTTGGTTTATGAAATTTATTTCACATTCCAATTGCTGTGACAGTACAGAACAGAGTATTGCTACTGTGGAAAATTAACTTAGAAAAAAAAAATATATTCAAGTGTTCTGAAGGTCAAGCAGACCTTCTTTTCAAGTAATTAACAGGTTTCTTGAAACACTTTTCTCATTTTCACCTTCCCTTCAGATATTTATACTCCCTGCTGAGCCCCCCAAGCCTTCTCTCCCCTAGGGCACACAGGGCCACCTCTCTTGGCTTTGCTCATATGAGAGATGCTGTGGCCCCTTAATCACCTTAATGGAGCTGCTCTGCACATGTGCCTCTGTACCTAAACCTGACACTGATGCTTCCTGTCTGTCCCTGAGTAGCTGAGAAATGATATTATACCTTGGTAAATCTAGGGTTGTTTTGTTTTGATGTTTTTAGATTGCCTCAATGTATCACATGTCCACCTTACTGTGTCCTTTAAGGAGTCAGAGTCTGTGGCTTGGCAGTGCAGCTGTGTATATTAAGATAATATTTCTTGGCTGGCATTTGTTGGAATTGTACACATATTAACCACGTGATTGTTGGTGTTCTGTGGATCACAAATGAACTTAAAACTTGTGCAGTGTCATACAGTGCTGGTGATTTGAATTATGCATTAAACCAATGTTATTCTGCTCATTTTTTCCCATTTTGACAGAGCAGTATTTTCACCACTATTTCTAAAACTCTTTCTAGGCATCAGCAGGAGTCAACAAAGGATCCTGTTATACTCAATGCTCTCCTGCATATCTGTAAGACGATGCATGATTCTGTGAAGTAAGATGAACTTCTATTAAGAACTCTCATTTATGCAAAGTTTGGCTGCCTGATGTGGTTTCATGTTTCTGAGGCTGTTTGTTTCAAGGTGGATTAAGACATGAATCCAATTAGTGCTGAGGGAAGAGCTGTGCAGTGAAGTGGCAGCACGTACCATTTGCTCTTTAATTACTGCTGTATTTTGAATACTGAAGCAGAATTTTAAAAGGGAAGTAGCAGTGGTTTTGTAGTTTTCCAGTGAAGCAGAGACACTTTACAATCCAATCTTCAAAACACTTTGAGAATGAAACCAATGTAATCTTTGAGTTATAGTGAATAATAAGCTATTTCTGAGATTCAAGTGAATGTGTAGCTACTGAAGCACAGATTGCCATCAGATTTGTGGGTCACTGTTTTCAGCCATTACAAAGGGGAGTTTAAAAGGTTACCTGGAAGATCTCTAGGAACTTCAATAGGGGAAGCTAGAAGTGAGAAACTGTTGAATCATCTATATCTTCCCCCTAATTCCTCCTCTTCTATTTTGCCCTTGACTTTGAGAGCTGAGGTTGTTTGGGATCCCCTGTGCTCTGTTGTACCCTCACTGTTTCAGTAGCAGTTGTGCAGTGTGGAAAGCATTGTGGTTTGTAGGTAACTTGCAAAAATCACACCGAAATCTGTGTCTGATTGAAAACACAGACAGGATCACAATGCTGCAAATTCTAAATCTCAAGAGGACAAACCTTTTTTTCCTTCTGGTTTGGGTTGAATTGTAAGGGCACAGTCTCTTTTGCCACTCTAATAGCCCAGAGCCTCTTAGTATGGCAGATGCTGCAAAGGAAATTAAAACTTTCTCATCCTTGATAGGCCATGGATTCAAGATTTATTGAATAAAGAGGTCAGATTTAAAATACAATTTCAATTTATACCAGCTAGAGTGCTTTATTTTGGGTTAGAGTACCTTATTTGGCTGTATGTTGCACTAAAAGCCACTTCAGCCTTTAAATAGAACAATATATTGTGCCTAAACAAGCTTATTAAAAAAAACAGAGCAGTTTATAGCAATCCATATTTGGTGCTTCCTCTGTTGCTTTACCAAAACAATTTGATAGTTTACTGGGACCTTTAAAATCCCTTAAACCAGCAGTTCCTTGAGCTAAGATGGTTGTACATCTCTTATTAAATCACCCTAAATTTCAGTTATTTTTAAGCAATTCCTGTGTGTGTTTTTGCATTGTGATTCAGGAAACTCCCAGCTCATTGTGTGGGGCTCGCTGACCCCTGTAACAGCTGCTGGAGAATAACAGCCTGTAGACTGGTAGGGGTCTGATTCACAACTGAACTGCAAACCTATTACTGACCTGGAGATCTCATTACAAGCCTTCTGAGCCTTTCAGAGCCCATCAGTTGACTCTTTTGATTGGCAATGCACTAATGAGCTAATCATGCTGAGGTTTGCTTTCCTCCCTTACTGAATTTGTATAGTAAAACTATTGTTCTCTTCCCATCTGGTGTCTGTGTTGGAAATTGGTAACTGATATACTAAAGGTCAAAGCTGGAGCCAAGCATATAATAGTAAAGGGATTAAATTGTATTAGTTAATTGTAATTTAGTTTTTTGTTCATCCCTCTTCAGTGAAACAGGTTTGACTGACTGGATTTTTATGTGATGTAAATTTGTTTCAAATTAGATTTTGGACTCTTGGTGTAGAATAGGTATCTGTGGTAGTTTTGAAAATAAACTCCTTTTTACATATCAGTTTAGTTCAGTTCTTACTAAAACATGAAGAAAACCAGCACTGAAGCAAGGTGAAGTTAATTATTTTAACTTCAGAGACAATTATTTAAAATTCAGAGACAAGGTTATTTAAAACAAAAAACCTTAAACAAAACAAACCCCAAACTAAACAATAAACTAATGTTTTACAGTGCATAATATTTAAAAGGTATTTCAAAAACTTTACTCCTTAAATTGGATAACTTTCTTTGAAGAATAGATGTACTAATTTCTTTAGGATTTTAGACTTAGTTCTTACTCAAGTTCTAATGTTGCAACACAAGACTGAAGCCATTTGTTTGTATAATAAAAAATGTTAGTGTAGCTTCCTTCTCCTCTTGCCAAAGTCTGAGTTGTTGAGAATCTAAAGACACTCAGCAATTTCTCCTTTTTTAAAAAATCTCAAATTTAGTTTGGTTCGTGGCTGACTTGGTGATATTCACATTGAAATTAGTTTTATACAGAAGAATTTATAAAATATTATGTATCATTTGAACCTTTGTAGATGAATAGGATCAACAATATTCTAAAATTTACCAAATATTTTTTTTTCTAGTGCACTAACACTTGAAGATGAGAAAAGAACGTTAGCAGCTCTGATAAATGGATTCATAAAAATGGTGAGTGCCAGTTGTGTGCAACTGTTGTGTGCACCTTAGAGTTCCTATTTTTGTGACATCCCTGAGGAACAGGTGCCTGTGTGGCTGAATCAGAGCCCAGTCTCTGACTTGCTTAAGACCACTGAAAACCACAGTGCATTTCAGTGAAATAGGTGTGTCTGTGTTTAAAGAAATGTCACACAGTGCTGAAGCTGATATGGTGCAAGATGAAAGTTTAAAGTACACATGTTGTTTATTTAATTGTATTTTCTGCTTGTTTTGTAAATCTCCTGTAAAACAGAGCATGTATTTAACAAGTTAAACATCAAGTGAAGCATCAGAGAGGTCACTGATTTATGTGAAGGAAGTTCCCTACTTAGCTCTAAATGGAACCAATACCAGCTTTCAAAAATACAAAATAAGTGTTTTGTTATTCTATCTGTTTATCTTGATATAGAAATAAGATTTATTTCATTAAATTAGTAGTCCCAGGAGAACCCCAGGTGTATGGTCTTGAAATTAGTTTTTAACCCATCCCTTACTCTTATTCCAATAAATCTTTTGTTGATCTCTGTTGGTTTTGAGCTTTCTCAAGCTTTTTGTATTCTGTAACTGTGTACTCTCAATCTCTGTTTTTTCTTTCACATAGAGCTGACAGGCTCTGTGTCTACATGTCCTCTTTGTTCTTTGTTGCAGTTCTGTGGATTTCTCTAGATGGTTGCTTTTTTTCAGCTATAATAATTTGCTAATTAATGTTCTAATATAGTTTTGCTTTATTAAGCTTTACATGCAGTATAATATAGTAGAATTTCCTTTAGGAAGATTTCTTGCATTGAACAAAATATGATGTGTCTTGATAGTCCTGGTTTAGGGGAAAAAAAATCCCATAGCAGCAAAATGACTAGATATGAATTTAAACCAACATAAATTAAGATGTGGAGGGAAAAGCAATTGTTATAGTCATCCTTACAGCCAGTCTTTTTGGTGGAAAAATTTATATTTTTGGGTAGGTTTTCTCGAGACTAGAACTCAAGAATCAGCAGTTATACAAATAGAGGAAAAGCAAAGACAGTTGTCTGTAATGTGAGAAGCAATCCTTTGTTTTCTTGTGCAGTTTCTTTGATCTTTTACTGCATGGATTAAATGTAAATTTTATTCTAATTTTGTAAAAAATCCTTTTGCATGTGACTTGAGAAATGATAAATAATGCAACCTTTACTTCTAATAGAAAAAAAAAAAAGCAATAGAATACATAAATGTAGACTGCCTGGAGACTGTTCCTCATGCTCTGCTTTTAATTGACAGCTGAGACACTCCAGCTGACAGCACTTGGGATTTTTTTAAATCTACAGGGTTGGAAGAGGGTTGTGCTCACACAAAGGTTGTTTTTTGACTTCTTTCCTGCCCGAATGAAAGGCTTTTGCCATAATATATAAGAATGTATTTATTAACCAAACTCAAGGAAAACCTGCTTTTCTTACTGATTTATCTAATTAGGAAAAATGCTATCTTCTGTTGGAGCCCCTTCATCAACTAGAAATTAGAGAAATCTGAATACAGATTCACAGATCTGTTTCCATTTTTCTGGGGTTTTTTGTCTTGCTTTCTAAGTATAATCAAAACCAAGCCTTTGTCTCCCATAAAGAATCAAGAGTTCTGCCAGTTTTGAAAACACTTCACAAACCTAGGATTTAAATATTGTTTTCTTGAAAAATACTTGATCTATAAAGTAGACCATCATGTGGAGTATAGATAAAAAATAACCCAAAAAACCAAAACAGTAAAATTTTCATGTTTCCCTGAAGCTCAAGTATTGCAGACAGTTAAAAGAACAGAGATTCTGTGATTGCTGCTTGTTGTCACTGCTGGGTTTTCTCCTTAGCAGTATATGGGGGTTTTGATTTTGAATATCTGTGGTTTATCTGCATGCAGTTTTACATATATTTAAGGCCTAAAGTGGTAAAATCTAGGGGCCTTTTTTCTTTTATAGGTTTCATTTGGCCGTGATTTTGAACAGCAGCTGAGTTTCTATGTTGAAGCCAGATCAATGTTCTGCAATCTGGAGCCTGTTCTAGTTCAGCTGATTCATGTAAGCCACAGTTTATCTATATTTCCTTAATAAATGGGGGTATATTTGCATTCTCCCATTCCCTGCTCAGATTATTATTGGTCTATAGCAAAATAAGTCTGAAGTGTTTTAATCAGGTGTTTCTGAAGTGAACTTTGATCTCATCTCTGATTTTATCCCCTAAACACTCTGAAGTTCTTGCTTGACAGGCATGCATGGTATCAGTGCAACAAAGAAACGGACTATCTTGCAAGAGATTTCATGTATAATGAAACAAATGGCACCTTTGTACATTCAGAATTTGGGTTGCCTCTTCTATAATCTTTCATGTAGGAAAGATTAGATTGTGTCTGGCTGCAGATCCAGGCAGAGTCCTGCTGTGATTGGGGAGGTTAATCTCTTTTCTGTATTGAGTCACAGGTGAGCATTAGCTGCATCTGATTCCATTGCAACATTATATCTTCCCTTAAATACTTTTTTTTTTTTGGTTTATGTTTTTTTAATCTGTGTTAGCTAGAAATCATGATTGTTATGCTAGCAAAGGAGGTGACAGCACTATAGCTGGGAAGGAAAGGATAAGCTAAAGGCTTGATTAAAACAAGTGTACTTTCACAAATTGAGTCATATTTGCTTTAAGGAACAGTCACTAAAATTCTCCCAGTAAAAGGTAAATAGCACAGTGGGGACACACTGTATCAGGGTTCCTTTGGACACTGGATGTTGTGTAAATGCATGCAGTAAAATAGGCAGGTTGTTATTTGCCACTGAGGATGTGCATTTTTCTTAATGGTTTGCTTTTGTTTTGTGTGTAGTCTGTGAACCAACTAGCAATGGAAACCAGAAGGGTAATGAAAGGAAATCACTCCAGAAAGACTGCTGCATTTGTCAGGGTAGGTTGGACTAATAAACTCTGAGCCTGCTTTTTTTGCAGATAATACTGTCTGGTGCCACCTAAGCTTATAATTTTTGCAAAACCAGTGTGTTAGTATTTTTTGACACTGTTTGTAGTCCCATTTTCTCTTGTTACAAGCAGTCTTTCCTCTCTAAAGACAAATGTTGCTGTTCAAGGAAAAAAAGACCCAAACCATCTAATAGCAGCTTTGTGTTGAAAAAGAGCAGCACGATTGACTCCCCCTCCAAAGGAAGGTTTATCAGAGAGGTGTTTGTGTGAATTCTAGAAAGCTCAGCTTTTCAAACTATATTTGAAATAAAATACCAGATTCCTTTGTAACTCAGACACAGAGAATGGGAGGTGGGATATAAAATATATTCAGACTTCTGTCTCATAATATCAGTGTTGGTATGCTGAAATCAGAATTTGAATTTTAAATAAGGTCCTCCTTTCAGCTTTAGTGCCTCTGAGTGTATATAGAAATGGTCAAATGTGCTCTGAACTGTGCACAGGCCATCACAGGATATCCAGGTTGCTTATGTTCCCTTCTTCTTACCTGAAATGTGGCAAGCAAGATGCGTCCATCTGTCTTCATGTGGGAAGCTATTTGTGTGTGCAGTGGACTCCAGTCCATGGCACCTGCGTGGAGCAGAGGCTGGCTGGGCTGGCACTGGGCAGCTTCTCCCTGCTCCTTGCTCCAGCCAGGGCTTTGGGCTGTGCCCACAGGTCTGCAGCTGCAGCACCTCCCAGTGCACACACAGCACCTGCTCTCACCACTTTGGCCAATGGTTTCTCCCTGAGGACACTAGTCTGCTTTTCTAGTCAGCTTTTGGTCCTGCAAGGTGGTTTCCTGAGGAGAGAGGAACTCTTTGAGCTACAGTCACAGAGAGTCAGTTTTAATAATAACAATTCTAAAAAATACATAATTATTGAAATACTCATTAGAAATTTAAAACAGCTGATTTTGGGCTTCACATAATGTTTGCTTTCTATTGAAAATCTTTCCCAAAACTGACATACAGATTTTGATTCCTAATTGTGTATTAAATCAGTAAAGATTGTTATAACTCTGAGATAGGAATTTTATTCAGTTTTTTAAAAATTTACTTTAGGCTTGTGTTGCCTTCTGCTTCATTACAATTCCATCTCTGAGCAGTATCTTCACACGTCTTAATCTGTATCTGCACTCTGGACAGGTTGCTCTGGCAAATCAGTGCCTTTCACAAGGTAAGGCATGAATTTATCTACTTAAAGGCTCTCTTATTTCAGAAATATTTCTAACTGTGAATAATAACATGGTTGATATCCTAAGTCATATGTATATTTATGATGGAATTAAAATACAGCTCTGTTTCAAGCACTGTTAAAGCAAAACTGTGCCATATTAAAGCAGCACTTCAATGGGATTTTAAGAGCCAAGACAGCTGACTGTGATTTACATAGTCCTGGCCATGAGGTAGGTTGCCCTAAATTATGGGAAGCATGGAAAGTTTTTCTCCTGTGTAATTATGCAAGCTCTCTAATCACAAATTATGTGCTGTATTATAATTGAAAAAAGAAATGAAAGCATCTGTTTAGTAGTTCACAGACTGACAAAATTCACCAATGAGCTGGAAAAGAATTCCAGGTTGGGTCAGTGACAGCAGAAACTTGCTGTCAGAGCACCTGCATGCTAATTACTTAGCCAAGAAAATGTGCCACTGTATCAGAATGAAACAACGGTGTAATATCAGATCATATGAGGACTGAAAAATATATTTTCTTTTTTTGGATCTGAATTATTGATTGAAATATGCCTGAGCACATTTTCAGCCATCCTGTTAGTTCGGTGTTAAGTAATAGGAGATTGTGACAAAAGTGATTTTGGGGAAAAAATGGCATTCTGGCAACAGAATGAATGTTAAGTCTGTATCACCATTTAATATGATCTCATTCATGTTCCATCAACAAATGGAAGTCAGTTATCTGTTCCAAAAATCTTCATATAGTTTTAACTGTTTATAGTAGTTTTCTGTTTGTAATATTTTTCTTATCCTTTTTAAAGTGATTTGATCCTTTGTTTTGCAATTTCAATCCTGACTTTAAATGTCTGCTCTCAAATAGTAAATGCTTTTCTTTTACATGTTTCCAGTGGAGCTGTGAGAGTAATAAATTGGATTACTTTGCAGTGTCTTTTGTTGTGGCTATTAATTCTTTGTGTTAGCTCTGTGCTTCTTCACGAGAGCTTGTTTTCCAAGTTCTGCATTTACCAGCAAGTTCCAGCTGCACAAACAAGCTGACTTAGGATGCTGATTAAGACTTTTTAGTGCACAGTGACTGTTGTATTTCTTTGTTTTGAATCTGATGTTGCCCATACAGCAAAGCAGAGGGATTTAGTGTAAAGCTGACTATTGTGTCCAAGTTTGTTGTGCAAATAAAAGATCTGCAAAGTCTGTTGTTGTGCAGTTAGCATTGTGCAGTTTCTTTCAGGGTTTACATAAAATGGACTCACTTTTTTTCTCCCTATGGTGTTTTATTTAATTGACCAGCTTACCTTATTCTGTATGTCAATTTTCATTATTGTTTCTGTGCTGTAGAGCTTCCCTTATTGGAAGCAAATCCAAAGCAGTTTTTCTTTAATATTTGGTCTTCGAGAATTACTCCCTGACCATGTTGGGACCCCTTTTGTAATTTAATATCTTTCAACTTTTTTTGAATTTTCTGCTTTTCCACTATTTTTGTGATCCAGTTCTTCTCTGAGTGAGACTTCTGGGCCCCAACAATTGTCCAGATTTTTCAGTGTGAGGGTTTACAAATGTGCACAGCTGTTGTTTGACAAATGAATAGTGCACTCACTAAGAAATTAACAGGATCCTATCCTGAAATCTTTTAAGGTAGCAGAGATATGCAAAGTGTTATGAACTCAGTCTCTAAAATGCGTGTTTATTAGCCACACTCTTCTGAATTTTAGACCCACAAGCTAGAGAGAGAACATTTGGTTCATCTCTGCTTTTGTTAAAATGAAGCAAGAGCAAAACTGATGTTCAGTAATTCACTTCATTTACCAAGGTTTTATAGTTACTCACTTTTTGCTCCCCTAGCAAAGCTATTCTGGGTATAATTTGTGCTCAGAGACATGTCACTTGCATGAGTAATTTAGCATGTGTTAAACACTGTCTTGGGACATTTTTCGTGAACTGTCTTTCCATATGTTGATGCACTGAAGTCACATAATGTGTCCTTGAAAGTTACTTTTCACACAGTTTAATCTGTATTTTAACTGGATGAGTAGGAAGTAAGAAGTACTGATTAATTTATAACAGCAAATTTCACTCCAGTCAGTTAACTGAGTTAATTGATGCCAATTAGACACTGATCTACTAAAACCCATGCAGCATGAAGATTTAAGAGTGTGCCATTAATGATAGCATTAGGCCAGGAAGGGAAACTGTGCCTTGTCTGTAACTTTTATTTCATACTGATTTGAATTAGCTTAATTGGTTTAAAATTGTGAAGAGAAATAAAGCTGAAAGGTAATGTACCTGATCCGAAAGTGCAGTCAGCAGATGTGCATGCATGAGTTTTGTGCGTGCACTTCCTCCTTGAAGGTTCCAGCTGGTGTTTGTAGCAAGGTAAAGTCTTGGATTTTTCGCAATTTTAAGTTTCTGTGGGGAGTCCAGTGAGTTGACTTTTCACTTAAACACATAAGAAAATTGAGCTCCACAACTTCTGTTGGCAATAGGAAGATTTCTCTAAATTGCCAATGTATCTATCTTGAAAAAGGAGGATGTGCAGGTCATAACAATAAATGAATTTATGAGTCTGAGGATTGCACTGATAAACTATCAGCAATTGGAGAGCCACAGCTAATCTGCTTATAGCTGGAAAAGTTTGGGTTTTGCCTCATTCCCAGTTTCAAGGGGCAGCAGTCGTAACCACCAGTCCTTGTGTCTTGCTGCTCCCATGTCCTCTATCCCAGCCTTGCTTGCTTGGATTTGCCATACTGTTAATCAAATCACGTGTTTGAACTCATCCAAATACTTCAGTATTAGAAAATTGTAATTTTTCATTAAATAGATTTTGTTTAAGACAATGAAGTTTGGTCAGAACTGTGAATTTAAGGGCTCATGAAACTCCAGCGTTAAAACACTGACGGATGTCTGTCTGGGAGTGTTCAGAATGTATTAAAAATGACTGTTGCCTCTTTCATCTCCAGATCCCAAGACCTGCTTTAAGTGAAATGAATCTGTAATTATGTTTAAAATGTTTTGGGTGAATTTTCCCTGGATGCACAGTTTGTACCTCTGGAGAGCCTTTTAAGAGTCCAACTTTGAAAGGAAGATGCTAGATTTTACAGAGATGGGCTTTTCATTTTTCTTAGCTGAGCCACTGAGCACTGCGTGCTGCCAACAGAGAATAATAAATTCTCATTGGTCATGCTTTCTGTCATGGGGGTGCTTGGACTAAATTGAGATTAAATGCATGCTCCATTGTGTCACTCTTCTGGACTTCTGAGATGTAGATATGATTTTTATTGCACACATTTCCTCTCTGGAAATGCTACTTTTGTCTGTCAAAAAAGAGACAGCATGAGTTTTTAATGTTTGATCACAGCATTCAGCAGGTGGGTAGAGATGACATAACTTTCTGGTAATATGTGTTGAGCAGCATTTTTGTTTTAAACTGTGAAATCTTTGCCTCACTTGAGAAATAACCTGCTGAGTGAATAAGGTAATTCAGCTGATTCTGTCTGACTGATTTCACTGGGATATTGTCAAATATTAAACTTTATAAAAATGGACAGCCTGTCCCTCAGATCAACTGCTGCAGACCGTTTTGCTTAGCAAATGCAGATTTTAATTCTGAAGCACACAGTGCTTAATATACTTCTAGGTATTTGTTTTCCAGTTGTGGCTAAATCACAGTTACACCTAGTAGATTGCAAAAATAATTTCTACTGCAGAAAATGTTACTTTTCCATGAGTATTCTCTAAAGGCTTCAGTAACACTCTGGAGAAATTATGGTATGGAATATCTAATAAGTAATTTTAAATCATAGTCTAATAATGGTTTAGAGTATTTTCTCAGTACCATTAGATAACAACTTTTAGTATTTCTTCTTAATCTCCCAAATTCTTTATTGATCTGAAGAATATAAACAGAGAATTTGAGGTAAAGAAGAAGAATATAAACAGAGAATTTGAGGTAAAGAATTTAGAGAAATAGGAACTTGAAGAGATTTTCCTAATTACAGATACTAGGACTTCTTGGCTCATGTTTCTCTGGTGAGAATAGTATATGGTGACTCTGTTATGTTTTTAAATACTTCTTTCCTTGAAGGCAGTAAAAGATCTTTGGGAAAAGAATGATGTCATACTGTTTTCCTTACTAGCAATGCTAAGTGTTGTTTCATTTGGACAGAACTGTGACCTCTTCTGTTACCTGGGACTTCCACAACTGGAGACTTCCCCTGAGCTTTTTCTTGTTCCTCTCTTTATCCCAGCCAATCACTTTCCCATATGATGTGGGAGAGGTGACATCTCTCTCTGTAAGCTCTTCAGACTAGTACTTTATATCAGTTTGTCAGTTCTTCAAGTCTGTCTAGCCCATGACCTGTTTTTGAAAGTGTCTTGTAGCATCTACTAAGGAAACAATAATGTATCTTGGCTTTCAGGTGCAGGTGATTTAATACATCCTTCAACAAAGCTTGTGTATGGCCCAGACCATGGTATTTAATAATGTAGATGGACCTTGGAAATTTAATATTTTTAATCAATTTCTAATTTTTGGCCTTTGTAACTTCATGTGATAGTGAGTTCCACAGTTACCTGCTACTTGGAAGTCTAATGTTTAGGGATTCATTTATGTTAGATGTTAGGTGAGCGGCTCAGAGCATGCAGCTGATCTGCTGGAGCAGAATTCAGTCATTCCTAATTGTTTTTTTTCTTGGTGGCTATGAGATAATGTAGTTGGTGACTTCCTCAAGAATTTGTTGTCAGTATTGCCTTTTCTAATAAGAAAACAGTTCCATGCCCTAGCATCTTTTTTATCTTTTTGTGCCTTTGGAAATGGGAAGATGAGGACTTGATTAGATGATTCCAGGTATAAATGCCCAACAGCAATATAAATTATACAATGACTCCTCAGTTTTCCATTACTCTCCTAGTGATTCTTGTAATTGCCACGCCTTTTCAACAGCTGTTTAGGATGTAGTTTTCAGGAAACCATCTATAATGACTCCAAAATCTTTCATGAGTGTAAATAACCTATTTAGAGCTTCTCTTTCTACAGTTATAGCAAGGGCTGTCTCTTTCTCCACATGCCATACTAATATTAGAGTTCATCTGCTGTTTTACTGCTCAGAATCATGAGATCCATCTGCGATGCTTTGCAGTCACGTTCCAGACCAGTCTGCAAACATTCTCACCTCCCAGCTCATCCTGAGGACATGTCTCTGCAAAACCTTAAGGAATCCAGTAGTTAAGTTTCTTCACTCTGAAAACTTTTTTATTCCCTTTCCTTTCCCCATCCACTCCATCCTTTGTTAAGTTGTGTACCCTCATGAGAACCTTTTTCCTTATTTTCTTTCAGCTTAGTTGTTTAAAGAGTCAGTTCTATAAGGATAAATATTAAAAGTTTTTTTAAAATCTAAGTATTTATTAACAGAATTACTTCTAAACACAGTCTCACTGGTTCTTTGGAAGGCTTGAGTGACTGCTGAGGAGCAATTTCTCTCTGCAAAAATCATACAGACCTTCCAGCCTTGTATCATTTTTTTGTATGTCTGCTCATTTGATTTTTTTTTGCCTCATAATAACGGTAGAAACAATACTATTTAACTGCAGCATTTATTATTTCAAAATTTTCAGTATTACAAAATACTATTGGTGGAGCTTTCTATAGAGAGTGCTGCTGATGTGGTACCTCGTCTTTTGGGATTACATAGAATTTAGAGAGGCAGGCTGTAATTTGTGGTTGGTTTTTGGGTTGGTTTTTTTTTTCTGGGTGGGAGGGCATGCAGTGGGGTGGGGTGTGTGTTGCATTTACTCATCACACCTTAAGAATAAAATATCTTCTGTCCAGTGTCCTTTCTGATACTGTCTGATGGCCCTGTATGGATCTTCCACTTATGCCTCTTGTGTGCCTTTGTTCCAAAGTACAAATGCCTTGTAATCTTTAATCAAGCTTCACCTAAAACTGGCTCTACAAAGCTTCATCCACGTAATTACCTTTTTATCTGCAGCTAATTCATAGTATGAAATAGTATGAACTAACACAGTACATTCCAGCTCACCAAGCAGCAGTGCATTCATTTTCTAATTTCTTAGTTTCTAATTTCTAGTTTCTTCCTTCAAAGAAGTCTTGGTTGTTTCTGGATTGGAAGTGATGTGTAGAGATCTTTAAGACAGAGAAAAATTTGCAGTAGTTCAAAGGAAAACCACATTTCAACAATATCTCACAGTGACCTCACCAATGTGACAAGAAGGAGATTCAAATGTTTACAACGCTTGGTTGTCAAAACAATAATGGATTAATTTATTTAACAGAAAAAGTAATGTAACAAAACCCCCACACTTCTTTCCCAATCATTTTTTGCACTGGAGTACAAGCTTCATTAAATCTCCAACATCTGTTGGATGTGGAAGCAAAATCTTCAGAGTATTAAATTGGGTTTGACAGTGTTGTAAGACAGGAAAGTGGTGTGGAATGCAGAAGATGTGCATGGTCCCTGGTTTTGTCCTTTGGGTGGACTTAGCCTGGTGTAATTGTAGCCGCGACTAAAAATACTTTGGGTAGGTATGTTAAACTTGCTCCCTTTTGCTCTTTGAAGGTGGACTTAAGCAGTTTAATTGTTTTTCCATCTCTGACCTTGTTCCTCCTTATTTTTGTCTTTGAAATCTTGAATTCGTACAGTTTGATTGGTTGTCAGAGAAACGGGAAATACAGTGCAAGCCCAATTTTTATATATAGAGAGAGATTGATACACAGAAATATATGGAGGTACATATAGTTCTGTGTAGGTATAATTAAACGTGTACATGTGGCATCATGAATATTGTCAAAAGCAGAACATTCAACACCAATTTCACTTGTTTTTTCCTCTTTAGGAGGCTATTTCTGGAAGTGCTGACTTGGATATCCAAGACTTAGTTTTTGTAGCCTGAAGGTCAACATGTATGCTTGGGGGAAAGATTTATAGGATTATGGTCAACCAAAATGAAGGAGCTGCTGTGAAAGGATGAATTTAGTGAAGCATGAAGTATGTTACGTTCGGAGCACTGCACAAGATATTAACAGCAGTGGGGAAGGCTTCATCATGGTGATTTGTTGTAATGCACAGGCCGCTCTCGCCTTATCCAGTTCAACAGTGGTTCACTTAAGAAGCAGTATTGTACTTTAGGCAGATAAGAAAACAGCATCCTTCATCAGAAGAAGCCTTTTTTATCTTCTTTTTGTTTTTTTAATCAAGAACCTAAGATTGCTGTGGTTTTCCATGCTTTTTAAGTGGTTCCTTATATCTTTTGGAAGCCAGAAAAAGCGATGTATGGTTTTTGTTTTAAAACATCTCTACAGTAATAGTTTTAAAAATTGACTTTTAAAGATACAGAGAAACCATAATTGCATAACCTCATAATTAATGTAATTCAGAATTAAACACTGATGCTTATTTCATACTTGAAAAAAACAGCATGGCTGTGACAACCTTTTTAGTGAGCCTTTTCTCCAAACTCAGAGCATCTAATGAGTATAATAACTCTGACACCTCTCTGCCAGGATGGTAATGTTTAGAGGACAGGTCATTTTCTGCAGTCTGTAATAAAAACCTTTGCACTGATATGCATTTATTTTTGCTTCTTATGAAGCATATATACCTTGGAGAAATGTGCTTTTAGTGTTCCAGCATAAAACAATTTCATGGTTAGCACAGATTTGCAGAACTAACTGCAAAATGAACACACTCTCCTTTGCCAGTTCTTCTGGATATATCAAAGTGAAATACAACTGTTTTGTGCTGTTTTGCTTGTTTGGCTTGCCTTGCTGCACTGAGTGGGGGAAGCAGGGGGAGAAAGGCAAGGAACAAGGATTAAAAGTGTGGGGCAAGAGCCTCAGTGTCCCCATTGTGCTGGGACGGTGACAGTGTGTGGGGTTTGCAGGGTGGCCCTGTGGCCATGGGGCACAGCTGTGTGACTGCTGTGGCTGGGGAGGACACAGGGGGAAGCTCAGGGAGTTTGTGGCAGCACAGGCAGGTCCCTGGTGTGGGCAGCACCTGCAGGGGAGCCGGGCACTGCTCTCAGCAGCCCGAGGAACCAGGGAGCTCGTGGTTCTGGAGCTGCTCAGGCAGATGAGGAGGCAGCTCTCATTCACAGCAACAGTAGGAGGCAGGGAGAGTAAATGAAATCAAATTTCAGGTTTTGAAATTGAAGATAAGAGGTTTTGGGTTTGCAGTGTGGCAGAAGTTTAGAGGAGAATGTGAAGGATTGTGATTGCTGGGAAAGCAGGCAGTAAATTAGGGTGAGCAGCTCTTTTTCACTGTGGATGCTGATTGCTACCTAGGTCATTCTTGTCCTGTTATGAAATAACTTCAGAAGGCAGGAGCATTCCCTGCACAGACATGGGTACTTTGGTATGCAGACTATTCTCTAAGGCACATTTTTTTCATTTGTCTGGTCACATGTTTTACTGTATGGTGATGTGGCATGTGCACTTTTATTTTTTTTCTGAGGAGACAACTGTGGAAGTGACAGCAATTCATTTACTTGTGCTAGAATGAACATCTGCTGCTGCCTTCCTTCCTCAAATAAACCTCAGAGAAAGATTACTTACCTTCCTTTGGGTTGGTCTAAATTTATAAGTTGGAAATAAACATTCTTTCTCCTCAAAACAAATGTGCAGAATAAAAGGAAGGACAATGTTTGATGGAAGGGGTGTGCATTCTAAGCACAACACTTAAAAGTCCAGGAGGGGTTGAGCACTTGTGTGCTGAAGAAACAAGAGTGAGAACTACAGTTTTTCCAAAGCACATGTTTCCCTGGTATTCCTCATAAGCTTAAATTAGATACCAGTTGGTACTATATTTAGCAAATTTGCATGGAGTCTCAAATGAATTTTTCCAGAGCAAGCTGCGCTCCTAGAAATGCCCATGCCTGCCTGTCAGTGGTATCTCCATCCCAGCCATGTAACACCTCTTGGCTTTCACCAAGAATTCTCCTTTTGCCTTTGATAAAACCTGATTACATGGCCTCAGTCTCTGTTCTTGTAAAATAAAGATACAATATTAATTCTGAAGGATGCTTTGAAGTATATGGCTCAACAACTTGAGTGGGATGTGGATACTTAGAGGTTCTGAAATATTGCCAAGAAAGTGCAAAACAGTGTTGCTGTCAGAAATTTTTTGTGAACTCAGCATATATGGGAGGTCTTCTAGTGTAAGAGGGAAAATATTGTTGCTTTTAATTTGTGAATATTAATAAACTGAGAAATAGATGTTCTATTTGGAATTTATATTTTTGTAAGATTAGAGACATGATAAAGAGTTATGAAAAACCTCTTAATAGCTATTTTCCCACGGCTGTAATGCTGGATGGTTTCTCTAATTCCTGTACTGTGATTTTTGGAAAAAGCCCGTTTATTTAGGTAACCAGCAATACCCCAGGTTATGGTACTAGGATTATTTTACTTTTAGTGACTATAAATAATTAGAAAAATTAAATTGTTGTAGTTCCTTAGAACTTTAACAGCCTTTGTGAATGAATTGGTGAACAAGATAGCATGAACCTTTTCCCCCCACTGGATTCCCCATTCTCCCATCATAAGCATTTCTTTGATAAGTCAATTTTGAATCATGTGCTAATTTCTTATTATAAATGCATTACATATGAAATGATGGTGTCTCCTTGTTATGCAAAGGAGAAGAGTTATAATTTCAGAAGTCTTGGGTGATGTGGGAACTTCCTTTGGAGAAACACCAAATTCAAATTAGCCTGTTTCTCAAGAAGTAGACCACTGCTGAGTCTTGGGTTTCTCTGCAGTTCAGCACATTCATTTTCTGTAATCTATCTGAAACAAGTTCAAAGCAGCCATTGGGTCACAGGCATGGCTGCCATCACAGCTGGAATGATATAACAGCAACTCTATTTTTATTTTGTAGCTGATGCTTTTTTCAAAGCTGCAGTGAGCCTCGTTCCTGAAGTGCCAAAAATGATCAGTGTAGATGGGAAGATGCGACCTTCTGATGCCTTCCTCCTGGAATTCCTTTGTAATTTTTTTTCCACATTATTAGTTGTTCCGGTAAGTTGAGTGTGTATGAATACCACATAGGTTTAGTATGGACTATTTTGACTTTCCTGTTTAAAAATTTAGAGCAGACTGGGCTTCCTGAGTGGGAGATGCAGGGATTAGTTTTCTGTGAAAAGACAGACTGTTCTGCTCATTGGCTGCAAAATACCTCAGCCCAATGCAAAATGGGGAGGCAGAACAATTGTGTGGAGGTGGAGGTACAGCATTGCCACTCTCAGTAACCTCTCACTAAAAGTGGATTTGGGGTAGAGTGAAATCTCTAATTGTGTAAACATGTACTGGTTTATTAGCAAAGTAGTCAAAAAACCCTAATACATGAGGAAGGCAAAATATATATAGAGCTCTAGTTCCTATTAGGTTCAGTTACTTTGGAATAGGTTGCCTAATTATTTGAGTGAAAACAATAATTAGAAGATGTGTTTTGGCATAACCTTCCTCTTCTGATGAATATTTCACAAAGTACTACTATTCTATGCCCTTCCAGTTTTTAACTAACTGCCAAGTTTAGAGAGAGATGTAATTTTCCCTCCAATATTTTCAGCTATATCTAAAAAATGAGGGGAAATTGTAAATTAACCTGGAGGAACAGAAAAAGAAGTTTGAAGTATGTTCACTTGTTCTTGGAGGGAGTTTTTCCTCCTCCCTTATGGTTTTCTCCTTCCTTTTTGCTGAGACTGCCTGTCTGGTGAAGCAGCACACAGGTGACTGAAGAAGGGATTGATACAACCTCTCAGATTCAGTAATGAAAAACATCTTGCAACAAGATGCCAGGATTCAGAAACTAGCTTCCCTAACTTTGTTCCCTATTTACAGAAGATCAAAAGGAAGTGTCTCCAGTGGATTGTGATTTGTCCTGTGTATCACAGTGCCACTGCTCCAACTGCCAGCTGGAATTAGCCAAGTGCAGTATTAAAGCTGCTTGTAAAAGCCCCCAGCTTATGTAAAGCAGAGTCTTTCTTTTCATTTCATATGAAAAGATTGTTGATTGTCTGTAACTGACTTCCCAGTGTAGGTGTTCTTCTGAAACTCATAATTATATGAGTAATACACTACAGCTTACTGATACGATTTTAATAACAAAATCTACCCACTGTTTAATTTTAGAGGCTTAGCTGTTAAGAAGCTGACAATTAATTTTGTACTGCTCCCCCATGACTACAAAACAAAGCATTTCAAAGCCTCCTCTGTGGAGGCTCCCTGGATCATGTTCTGATTATGGGTCAAATGGACATTTCAGATGGAAACTAGAAAAAAAATTTAAAGGATTTGCAGGAAGCACACTTAAGAAAAGTAGCTGTCAGCTTTAATTATATTGTAGTTCTGCTTTTATAGAGCTCAAACTGTGACTCTACACCACTGAATGACTGCAATAATCCTGTTTTTGTTCCAGGGTTGTGGTATTGGTTTTGACCTATCTTTTTTCTTCTGTGTAGGACCATCCAGAACAAGGAGTGTTGTTTCTTGTGCGAGGATTACTAAATGTGATCCAGGATTATACTTGGGAGGATAACAGCGATGACAAAGTCAGGATTTATACTAATGTTTTGCATCTGCTGTCTGCAATGACTCAAGAAGCATTTATCTACCATGTAGATAAAGGTAATACCTAAGGGGGGCTCTGGCTCCTTGCATTCCACCAGGACTTTTGTAGTATTGTCTTATCACCGTAGCCAGTTAATGTAGACCAGTGGTAATCAGTCTCAAAGAATGGATTATTTTTCTGTCCAGTTCTAGGTATTGTAATTTAGAATAATCCCAGGAGCTGGCTTCTGAACAGGTGCAGTCTGTTCTTTGCAGTGAATCTGTACAGAGTGGGTTACTTAGTTTGCTTCTCGTGGTGTTGGTGCAAATGCTTATAAAATGTGAACTTTTCAAGTAATGATTATGCATATGAAGGGTTTTATTTAAGTCTAAAGTATCAACTTGATTTATATTTATCATTGGTGTTTCATCCACGTTTATTAACAACTCCAGTTTTCAGAATGTAAAGCCTAGTCTTCATTATTTAAATGATGTATTTGGTGCTTTGAAGGCAGGCTTTCAGTTTTGGAAATTGCAGTAAATTAAAAAAATATTCAGAATAGCTAGAAAATTATAAAGATATTATGTTTTGTAAAATAGCTGTCATCTTTTTTGTAATTTTTTTTGAATATTTTGACATGCTCTAAAATTTTAATATTTGCCTTCTGATTATAGATTACTAAATTAAGGTAGAGTAATAAATAAAAATCTTTTAAAGCGCCCTGGAAGATTAATGAGTCAGAGAGACCAAGATGGTTTGACTTTCTCTTTCAGTTGCACAGGACTTTAACAGAGGGCCAGGCTGAATGTGCTCTGCAGTTCTTCTCGTGAATAGTTTGTCAGATTTACTGCCCATGACAAAATACCTCTTGCAGTTAGCAGCACAGAAAATACCTGTCAGTGGAACTGCTACTCTGTAGTAAATCTGCTGTTACAATTCTGTAAGGAAGTGTGCTTTAGCTTTTTTTTTCTCTCCATTTTTTATGTGACCAAAATAGCTGCATAATCCCAAGATGAGAAATCTAAATTAATTAGATTTTAATGAAGACAAGCATGGAAATATAAATTAGTAATTTTTCCCCTGTAGTAGGGCCATGGGTTTTTTTTCTAGGTGGACCATGTACCTTAGCTTCTTAAAATAATGTTTACTTGGGAACAGGGCATTATCTTTTATCTTCTGTGCTTTCTGATTTACCTAGAATACAGTTAAACCTAAAAATTTCTTCTACCCTACTTCTTAATAGAACATAAATAAATTAGGGCAAAAGATATGTTTAAATTCACAATTATATAAGCTGTAAAAACTTGAAGAGCTCTCTCCCTCCCAAGAGTCTTTTAAGGTCTTTGAAACTGAAAATACACTTTTTGAATTTCTATCCATGACTCTGAGGTAATCATGGGTTTATTTTAAGGGAAAAAAATTAAAATGCAGTGTCTTTTGAAAAACTGGTTTTTTTACTAAATAAAATACAAATTGTTTGGCCAAGTGCTGCTGCCATTGAAGATGATGTCCATACTCTTCTAAGGTGATGGGAGAACGGAGTCTGTCTCTCTGGAAAACCTGAAAATTTACATTGTATGTTGCTTAACATTAGGTCTAGGAGATATTTGTGTGAGCCTGGCTGCATCCAGGAATACAGGACTGGCTTTAAGCTAAAAGATTCTTCTCAGTGTTTGGTTCCTAAAATCAAAAGGACATAGTAGGCAACCAAGTGTAGGCACTTAGACAACATAGTTCTGTTTGTGTTTCATGGAGGAGGGTCACTTTATGGGTTCCAAATGTGGTCTTCTATCAATATATGATGTTTTCAACAGCAAATAAATGTATAGCTCTTTAACCAGACCTAAGCTTAATTCATCTCTGCAGTTGATTCCAATGATACTCTGTATGGTGGAGACTCCAAGTTCCTGGCTGAAATTAATAAACTGAGTGAAACAGTGGTATCACAGATCCTGGATCATCTGAAAACCCTGGGAAAGGAGGAGGTATGTTCTTACTCAGCTTGATTCAATACAAAACCAAAAGTAATTTAGAGTTGGAGAAACAGGCCGCCTTTGACCAGGACTTGGTCTTTTCAAAAGGTTCAGGGACCTCAAAACAAAAGGAAATTGGGTATTTTTACTTGTTTAGAAAGTGAGACCGTCACATAGGCAGGCTTGTGGAGGAGACACCTAATGATGTCCAGTTGTGTAATGAGCAAAGTGAGAATTCACAGTTAGTCTATTACTGGGAAAATACAATGAAGGCCACCTGTAATTATAAAAGTTTCAGATCCCAGGCACTAAGATGATGTCAGGAGGGAGGTACAGAGGGAAGAAATAGTTGTTTTGTCTTTACTCTGACTTTAGTATATTTGTTCAATATAAAATAAAGAAAACTCTAGGCAGCTTATTGGATTTCTTGATTGGATTTCAGAGGCTCTGAGGGATCAAATCTAGCTTAATGGATTGTATGTGAAAGGCAGGTGACTGATGTTTACTGCAATAATGAGAACCCACTGTTCCGTTAATGTACCTGTTTCTGAGAACAGAGCCTTCCACAGCTTCCCAATCAGCCCTTTCTGGATGGCTTCTATTGATAGAAAGCTTGTGGCTCGTGGCCTGGAAGGGAGGGCAGGGCATGATTGATTTGATGGAATTTTTTTAGATGGGCTGTTTGCACAGTAGCCCAGAGTGTTTGCCAATATAGAATGTGTTAAGTGATACATACTGGGAGGACACTGTGCTAAGTTTAGCCTTTTCCTTGCTTTTGCTATTCTGTTTGTCCTTCCTTGAGCAATGGTGGAAATGTAGGATGAAAATATCCTTTGCTCAAAACCTCTACATCATTGTACACATCACCACAGGGAACTGTAGTTCTTTTTCAGAACAGTAGCAGCAGAAACAACCATTCTAGCACAGCTAAGAATGTCCAAGAATTTCCACAAGGAAGTTTAAACAAAGTTTTCAGGACTGTGGGTTGTATATTAGGGAGTTTTTTGCATCTGACTCCTGTATGGAATTTGTGAGTAAGAATGTTTGTAGGACTTGAAATCCATGGTTTCTGAAAGGCCTTTTTTTGTTGTTTTCCCCTTTCAAGCACACTTTGAGTAAGGAGATCCCATGTTAATTCACTGAGGCTGTTGTGGCATCGAAAACTGGATTTAAGGCTAAGCAGCAGATATAGGTGCTTGGCCTGCCTTTGCCTCTGCAGCCTTGGATTTGCTTCTCTGTCCATCCTTATTTACAAAGAGGGACCATTTGTTTTGCTTTGTTGAGTGAAAGTCATTGAGAGATTTAGATAAAAATTGCTTTGTAAGAATGAATAGTTGTTTGACGAAGCTGTTGTTGCTGAGGAAATAGAAGTGATGAGAATATTATCAGAGATCTCCAATTGTGCTGAAGTAAAGCTGGTCATAAAATCACTGTGGTATTTGGATTGCTTCAATTTTGGTGACCTTTTATTATTCATCTTCTTGGCTGCTCATTTAAATGAACAAGGCTCTAATGATTTTGTGTTTTTATTGGTTCATTTCCTTTAAAAGCTTTAAAGGAAAATAAATTTTTCTCACAATAAAATCCTTTCACAAAAATGGCAATTTGGAAGAGAACAATGTGTCTTACTGTTAACACAGTGTGGTCTTTTCACAGTATTAGAGAATGCTTCATTTATGTGACAGTTCTGGATGGAAATTTTTAGTTCTGGACAGTTCTAAAAGTTCAAGCTGTTTCTGGTCGACAGAACATTGTAGCAGTGAAGCCTCTGCTTTGTGTGGGGAGGAAGACTGCTTTTATGCTCCTTAAGGCCCCCTGTCAGCAATTTTAGGGGAAGGAGCTACAAATACATTTGTATCACCAGAGTTTCAGTGAAGAAATAGCAGGGAAAAAACATCTTTGGTTAAATAAATAAATAAATAAAAGTAGAATAGACAGGGGCGGGGGGGGAAAGCCTGAAGTTGCATTAATTTAGATTGATGATAGTGGTCTCTCTAAAAATTTACAGCTAGGGTGCTCTAAGTGCAAGATTGGTTGGTGGGAGAGTGATTTCTATGCAGTTGTAGGGAGTCTGGAGTTGTAAATGTGCCAGACCTACATACTATGCTGTGCCAAAGTGCTGTGAGATGTAGGAGTCTTGTGTATGTATTTTATTTTACAGAAGCTTCTGTTGATTTACAGCTACTGCTGTTTGTTGCATTTTGAATGGAATATGAAAACTATGACTGTATTCTTGTGTCTGTAACTATTGCTGTGTGTTACAAAATGAGTGCCCTTTGAACTTCTGAGAGTTCAGAGAAGCTGGTGAGGTTAAGCTGGGTATTTGGGGTGAGTGTACAATAATATGGGAATATTTTTGTTTTCATTATAGACACTGAAGCGGCAGAGCCAGCTGGCACTCTATTTCTTTAACACCATTCTGGCTCATGGGGACCTACGAAACAACAGACTGAACCAGCTTTCAGTCAATCTCTGGAATCTTGCTCAGAAGCATGGCTTTGCTGACACCAAGACTATGGTAAGGGAGGGATACAGATAGTGCAGGGAGGTTTTAGCTCTTAGTATCTTTTTCCACTCTATTTGGGAAAAGGTAACATTTTCTTGATTGGAATAAACCTTATCTCTTTACAAGCTACTATCTTAAAAAAACCCCAAATTATCTTAAAACCCCAACAACTTATTTTTCTAAATGCTTCTTAATGAACAAGCAGCTTCTCGTATTTCAAGTGGTCTGTATCTTTCTAGCATTTTAATAGTATGACATGCATTAAGGAACCTGAAAGTGTTGGTTGTTCTTAACTTTTTGTTCAGTACAGAAAACTAGCTTTAAGAGAAATAGTGCATTTTTATTTTGTGGAGCAACTGCCTGGTGAAAGCTTGTAAAGTGGCATTTGAGAGCCTTTAATAAACATACACATGATAAGAAACTCTGGAATAAGCAATGCCAAGTGCTCACAAAGCCAGTGAAATTTAGGGAAAATCCTGAGACTGGTTAAAACACCTTCACAACGATGAACTGATGGCTATGAAATGAGAAAAAACATTGAGAATCTCCAAATACCTTTCTTTCCAAACCTAGGTGAAAACCCTAGAATACATCAAGAGGCGGAGCAAACAACCTGAAATGAGTCATTTCACAGACTTGGCCCTTCGGCTTCCTCTGCAGTCCAGGACCTGACAAGTGCCTCTTCCAAGGAGTCACCTGCACAAGGGAGCATGGAACCCAGGCCAAAAATCACTGATCTACATTCTGACTGCAGGAGTTCAGTGTATTTTTACTTTCCTTAATGAGACACATTTACTTGGGCATAGTAAAGGTAAAACTGTTCTGAGTGCAATAATTTAACCTGAGTTTCTGTATCCAGTTTTACCACAGCATTGTTATTTTAAATGCTGATTTACATTCACTAAACAGTATTTTGAACCTCTGTGGTTGCAAAAGCATTTTGAGATCTAATATGTTATAATTTTAACAAAAAAGGAAGATGATCTGTACTAATGAGTTCACAGCCTCAAAACTTGATCCCTCTTGGAGAACAGTCTTTCTCCTCTGCAGAAAGCAGCATTTCAAGATAATAGTCATACAAAGTTGTGTCTCTGCTTTGGGATGCTGCCAGCATTTGTCTGGCTGGTTCCAGTAACAGAGAAAAATGGCTGAAGTGTTACTGTTCTAATTTCTACAATACATTTTCACAGATATGTTTATGTTTTCATTTTAGTCCAGTGGTGTTTTGTAAAATGGAAGGAATCTTTAAGTGCTGCAAAGGAAAATGGAAATTATGCAAAGTCCTGTATTTGCAAAGTACGCTATCACTGAATAAAAGAATTTGCAGCTCATTTGTGTGTTCTAGGGGAGTTTCTTTGTGTATACAAATCCATCACCTTACCCTTGTGGAACTTAGTTACATGCATTGTTATTATTTCTAATAAAATTTCACTCAAACCACTTCTACCCCATGGTAAGGAACCATGTTGAGACCCAATATCTATTGCTACTTTTGCATAGTGGCTTTTTGGCTATTTTTTTCTGGCCAGGCAAGTAGCTCAGGGCTTGAATTCAGAATTTGTTTCAAACCAGAAAACAGAACCTCGACTACCTGAATTTTAGTAAAACAAGAGCCAAAAGCTAGAAAGGCTGATGGAAGCTGGTGCTGAACACTGAGAGCACTGATGCCAAACAGCCTCACATTGTGGTAGGGGTGGTTTTAAATGGCACTTGAAAGGAGATGGTTTTCTCAAAGACAAGTTTAGGCCATGCAGAAACAGCTCCCTCTTCCCAGATATGGGAAGGGATTCGTGGCAACCCCTTAAGATGGAATCAGCATAATTTTCACTTCCTCTCAAAAGTTGCCCAAAATGCATCAGAACCCAGTGCTGTTTTGTTAATTGTGTTTTCTGCTGGAGGCAGATGCTTTCAGGTAGAGCAGTCCATTGCAGAAGACTATTGTGGAAAGTGAGGCTGTCTTGAAGAAATGTAGTTCTGTTGTTACTTTCTGATTTAAAAGTCTGCCTTCATCAAATTTGAGGGCACACCACTTGTGTGTCTTCAAAGTAAAGCACCATCATTTTGTACCACTGAGTGTAAAAAACGTGAAGATTTTACAGAACAATAAAATAATTTTGAATAACTTAAGATATAAGGAAAGTTTATTAAATCAACATTTAAAAAAAAATTCACTGAATTTCAATTAATTGCAGGCATGGCACGCATCTTCAGTCTTTGCAAGAGGCTGTCTCTTGCCTTGCAGAACAATGACAATAAAGGTTTGAAAAACTGTTTGGATGAAGTGAGGACCCAGCTCCATTGGTATATGCAGTTGAAAACTTGTATTTCAAGTACCTCATAAACATTCTTCAGCATTTTGTTATCTTATTTCAAATAAAAAGATGAGGAAGGTAAAAGGAAATTTCACTCTTTTCTGAGTTTTAATCTTCAAATTTTATAGATCTAGATGCATATTTGTCTATATATACTTTTTTGTTGGCAGTAGGCTGAAATCCAAGACCAATTCCTCTATGTTGCTTCAAGTCCATTGCTTTATCAAATTCCATCTTCAGAGCCTGCTGTAACTTCTCCTCCCCTTCCTTGTTCAGAGCCATGTTTGGTTTGTTTGGAATTGCTGAGGGATTTTGAGTAGGCACAGAACCCTTTTTAAAGCCGCCCATCAGTCTAAAAAACTTTGTTTGTTCCTCAGAACTTTTAAAAGTAGCTGTACTCCACTGTCCAAGCTTCGTATTCTGTGAGGCAAAACAAAGTTAACACTAAAATTAAGAAATACCAAGACCAAGGAAGACAATTTCTGTCTGTGTACCATGAGAACAGAACCAGCTACAAAAGCCTGACAGGGTGACAGAGCTGGGAAGCTGTTATTCCATGGGCAGTACCTCTTGAGGGATGTGGTAGAAGACTGACCTAACTCTGCCTGACAGCCCCTTCATGAGCATTTCAGGCCATTTGACCTGGAGACAGGGGTTAATGTGCTTTGAGAATCTCCTTTCCTTCTGGCTTTGGGAATCTTGGCTTTCTGCTCTCTCTTCACCCAGCTCCAAGAGCCACATAGCATCTCTTATTCCAAGAAAACTGTCAGACTTAATCCTTTTTCACTGTCACTTTGTAGGGTTACCTTTTCATTTTCCCACTGCCTAGTTAGGGAGCTGCTTTTGTTAGTTGCAGACACTGTTCAATTTGGCTTTAAGTAAAATTTGCATTCTCATCCCACTAATTACAACTAATATTGCAAGGGTGCAAAACCAGAGGACTTACCCAACAGGACTAAGTCTAGTTCTCCTAAACCTCCCTTCCCTTGCAGTTTGCTGTGCTCTTTGTATTTACAGTATTTGTATTTAACTGTACTCTTTTAACTAGTTTGCCCCTTCAGGATTCTTCTTCTGTCTGCAAATTCTGGCTCATTTCTGAGGATGTCAAACTAAAATGAGATTTCAGCTGTTGTGGAAAACCCCAGATACACCACAGGATTTACAAAGTTCATGAACTTCTGTGTTACCTAAGAACAGGCTTCATTATTAAAGGTTGTATTTGACTTCTGAGCTTTAGATATGCAGTCATTTATAAATATTTTTGGCAGGATTTCTACTCAGAACTTTTTCTTTAAAACTGGACATGATACTAGATGGCAGAATGTCTAATTTTCAATTAAATAGACTAAGCTGGCTACATCAAAGGGAAAAAAAAGTGAATTCAGTGGTATGTTTGTATCAGCCTGAAATCCTTCCAACAGAACAGTTGCAGCTTGCATGAAACAGTCATTCTCCAGTAGACAGCCAACATGACACACAGCATGCTACACAATTTCAGGAAAGCTACAGCAGGGGATTTTAAGGTAAAAAAAATGCAAGGCTGGAGTATCATTCACTCTCACAGGCCAGAATACCTGGTATTGAAAGAAAGCTACCCATAATACTTCAGCCTTTTGACCTTGTGCAAAGGCAAGTTGCTGTACAAGCCCAGTCTGTGACACAGATACATGCACATATCCAGATACACACACGACAGATAAATAAAGTCCTCCTTTTGCAATGGGACAGCTGCACAGATGCAAATATAATTATGGCTTGTCAAAACTCTGTTTTTAAGTGAGCTGCTGGCAGGCACTACACACAGCTTTTGCTGAAGCATTTCCAGCTCACCCTTTGTGGAGCTGATGAATTAGTTTTCACAGCTTCTATTCTTCTGCATACTACTAAACAGAGACAGATCAGTGCCAAGGAACTGAGATCTCCTGCCAAGGATGTCATTTTTCTCAATGACTTCAGAGACTATTAGACAGTTTCAGTTCCAGAGATACACAGACTCCCTCCCACTATGTTACATCTACACAAGTTGTTTCTGGCATTTGTTTGAGGCATATTCCAGCTTTCTAGGCATTCTGGCAGTCCTGCAAAACAACAGAAGCCTGAATTACTAGCAAAGCTTTCCACCTCAATCTTCTTACCCCTGGCTAAGCACTACTGCAAATTTCCACTACCTTACTGTGAATCTGTCAGGAGCCAGGCTGAGAAGGATGCAAAAGCAAAGAATCAGGAATTGTCTTCCCAAGAGGTGGATGAAAGATGCAGAAGCCATGACAGGACTGTCTTGCCTTTCCAGGTGTGTCCCTGTTGCTGAATGTGTGCAAAGTCTTGTAGGCCAAAAATCACATACACTTCACTGACTGCTGCATCCATAGCCCAAAAATTAGTTGAATTTCACAGTGAGCAGAAAATGCTTCTGTAGCAATTTTTGATGGCTCCTTTTCCAGAGAAAATATTGCTTTTGAGGATTGGTGATGGGAATTAGAGCACTGTTCAATGCCAAGGAGTTCACTGCTCTCAGACTCTGGCATTGTACCAACTTGTTCTACAGCGTGACCTGAAATCTGCAGTCAGGAGTGCTGCTGTACCTGAGCCACATACAAAAAAGAGCACAGTGTTTTGTACAGGAACTTGCCCTGGGACACAATATTTCCATCAGGTTGAGGTCTAAACTCATACATTACCTGTCCCACTTTGGAACTGAAAGCCTTGATTTTGCCAGATTCTCTATCGATTTCTTCTTGCAGGGCCCGCCGCCTCACCTAGTGTGCAGAAAAATGACAATTACTTCACAATGAAATAATAAGAGAAAAATAAAATAATTAGTTATCTTCAGAATTTTGCAAGGATAATTAAAAGTTGCTTGGGATGCTTTCACACACTTAACATGAGAACAGTAATTTTTTAGTGTATGTTAAATGAGTGTTTTGCTGTATCAGGTATCAGGTAAGTCTAATTTTCTAACTGCAAGCAACAGCTACACTGAAACTGCCAACGTTGATGAGAGGCAAAGAAATCTGTATTTAACTTAATCAGTTTCTTAGTTCACACATTGACTGGAGCTGTACATTTTAACTTAACCCACACGTAAAGCATATTTTAAGCAGAGCTTTATTTAGGGAAATCTAAGCCCAGATAAGCAACAAAGCATTTTTGTATCAATTCCTATGCATTAAATGCTGACCTGCTTTAGATCTTACCCAGAGTTAGGACAAAGCATACCTTGTCTATGCTAACTTCATCACAGTTTCCTTTCTTTTCCCGCACAATAATTACTCCATCTAGATGTTCCTGTAAAACAGGAAAAAGCTTGTATGATTATTTTTATCCATTCTAGTTAATTAGAATTTACACAGCTCTTACCACAAAAGTAGTTAAAACACTGAGCAATCAGTAGTACTATTCTGGGTCAAGGATAGTCAGATCTAAGATGAAAATGCCAATTAAATCTGTGTATTTCTATGGAAAATACTCAGAGATTTTTTTTCTTTTAATCAAGATAAATGCTTTTTAGATTTACACATTAAAAGGGACCTGCCAACAATACTGGCACGCACAGTAATGTTTGCAGGCAGAGTAATTTCAAATTAAACCATTTTGTAAAAGCTTAAATTTATACTTGAAGAAAGGCACAGAGAGAATGAAAGTTAAAAAAAATTTAGAAATTGGAGGTAAAAGAAAGAAAGGTCTCTCTGAAACAAATAAACAAAAAACAATCAAGAGGCAGCTGCACTGTGCTCCCTGTGGATGATGGTCCCCAGGGAGCTCCCAGGCTGGAAGGAGCACAGGGAGAGGCAGGACACATACGTGAACTGTCTCCTGCAATGGCAGCAAACAGCACATTATTCCACACTTGAGAGCAAGGAACAGGGAGCTGATGGAAGAGACAGAGCAGCTCCAGAAGGAATGGATGGGCTGGATGGCAGGAGGTAAATCTGGCTAGAGTCCCCACCCAACCAGATCCTGATCACACTTCCACAAAGCGCAGCCCTCCTGCAGCTTTTGCTCCCAGCGACTGACGTGCCTAAACAACTCTCCCCTACCTTTCTTTTCCAAATTTGTGATTAGGAGAAGCTTTTTGGGCATCCAGTGTAACAGGGTAAGTAATAAGTCCAGGCTAGTAGTAAATGAGAGCCATAAGCTTTAGACCAGCCTGGAAGAAGTGGCCAAAGGGAAGATCTATTGATACAGCCAACATAATAAACCAAGCATGAAACAGCCAGGGAAACGACAAAGAAAAGATTTGTAACATACTTCTGTCAGCAGAACCTGCTGTTACTTTTTTGAGGCTTTAGTTACACTAAAAGCCATCAATGATTTACATCATTTTCCAAAGCTACCTTTTGTACACTGCTTTCACACACACACCAGTACATGCACCATTAAAAATGCGAGAATAGTGTCTGCAGGAAGCAGAGCTCGTGCTCTTGGATGAAAAGAAGGAACCAAAAACAACCCCCAATTTACTTCTAGATGGCCTGGTACTGTCTTTTCAGATCTATTAAAACAAGCAGGAAAACTGTCCTGACAGGATTCTGCAAACAACTGCAGCGTATTTTTTTTTTCTTTTTAGCCAGAAGGAGCGAGCACCCCCATCTCTAATTCCCAGCTCGGTGCTGACCTGCTGAGGGCTACTGAGTGGAAAAAACTACCCCCATGGAGGTGTGCCAAGCTTCCTCCAACTCCATGGAAAAGGAGCACATTCACATGTGGTAGGGTTATGCTGTCTGCTGGCAAACAACATCAAAGCAGTAAGCTTGAGTCCTCACTCCTCCTCACATTGCCTGAGTTGGCTGCATTGGCATCCAATGAGAAAAACACCACTTACTGATATTAAGTGATACCCACTTAATCATTGTCTTTAAAATTTGCTCTTTTACTTGCAGGGCAAGCCCAACAGAGGATTTTTCAAGGCATGCAGAGCATGAGACACGCTGTAGATTAAAACATTTCAGGACTATGGCACAGTTAAATGCAAGACCACGTTATCAGCCATTTATTAGTGCAGTGTCTTTAGGCCTGGCAGGAACTAGAACTCTCTAGAAGTGATTAACCCAGACTTCTCAACCTTCAGATTTTCTTTTGAGTAGTTTTTTATTGTTAAAGGAGCTGCCTATGGGAAAGAGGAACATGCATCACCCTACTGCCTTCGTCTCAACAGTTTGCAAGGTATTTGCTGTGGTTTCCATATTAACTGATCATGAAAGTTTACATGTCTTTGTAGGGTTTATTTTGCCTCTACACAATGTAAGCAGCTGCAAAATCCAAATAATGTCCAACAATCTCAAAAAGGCAATGTCAATTTAATTAGAAAATATATCCAGCAATAAAACCACCCTGTCCTTTTGAAAGGTCAAAAGGAGAAATCCAACTTGAAAGCTCTGAACATCTGCTCACCTCATGACTGGTTAGCACACACACTCCCCTCACAACCTGTGAAAAAAAGCCTGTATCTGGGTCTCCACATGAATCTATATTTAATTATTAGCACTAGACACCAGACAGCTGCCAGGTTTCCACAGAACTGCCTCTGAGTGCATGACAAAGCAAAGCACACCATCAAGTGAGCTTGAGAAGCAGCTCACATTATGGTCTGCTATACCCCTAGCTTACAAATATCTTCAGTGATACCTTCTTACCTAGTGCTTGACATTTAAATACGCCAAGCATTCAAAATTCTTGACAAAAAGCAAGTGGAGTGCAGCTTCCCATTACCTACAGAAATAAAAACAACTTTCTAGTGACTTGCAGTGTGCTGTTTTCAAAGTTTAAGCAGTTAAAAATACACATATATACCTATTGGTTTTCTGAGCATCTCACAGCTCAATTCCCAAAGATAACATAAGTTGGGCATGTAGGTACTAACTTTTGGCACCCTTAGCTTTAAAACATGACTTTGATCAGATAAAGAAAAACTATCAGTATTTCAAGTATTTCATCAGTTCCTCCCCATGTTCATTTTACCTCAGAAACAGCAAGTACAGCAAGACTCTGGGATGGGATTTCCTTTGCCAGTCAGTCAGGATACAGTCCCAGCTACTCTCAGTTACAATTTACACAATTCTTAAATCTATTTATTTTCTTGCATAGATTTATTGTTTTAATTAAAACAATAAATCTATGCAAGAAAATAAATAGATTTATTGTTTTAATTAAAACTGTGTTTAGGTCCTGTAGTATTTTTCTATCAGAATTTGTATTTCAATGCTCTTGGCCCAGCCTACACTTAGGATTCCTAGGATTTTCTCTGAAATTTTGTCAGAAGTATTCAACAGTTTTTGGCTAACTTTCCCCTTTGTTTCTAACATTACATAATTCCAGCACTGACAGCAGCAAAGCCTGAGGAAAATCTAACAGTTAGATGAACTCGTGCTGCCACAATTACCACCTGCTCAGGGTAAATCACATGGTATTAAACTCCTGTTTTATGAAGAGTGCTGCCACTTTGCTAAGAGCAACAGAACATTTATGACTGTACAAACCCACTTTCTTTTTGGGCCAATACTTGCTGCTAGTTGTAATATTTACATTTTCCTAAGTGAAACACCAGGTGGTGACTGCAGCAGGCATCAGTGCTTCCCCTGTACAGGATCAGCTCAGCTGGAGCAGGGTGCTGCAGAGCCCAGGCTGTGCGTTTGATCCCTGTGTGGGCCCTACAATTAACAGCTGGATTTGATGATCCTTGTGGGTCCCTTCCAGCCCAGAATATTCTGTGGTCTGTGAAATATGACATGCTGAAATCCATCAGCTGATCCTGCTTCCCAACACCCAGTGGGGGCCCTCACTGACCTCAATGTTAGGAACAGGCAGAGCAGCCTGCAAAGGAAGAAAACACCCAAAAGGCTTTCAATTCCTTAGCAGGAGGGTGCAAAGCTGCCCTCCTCTCTGCACTTACCAGTGACTCACTCCATGCTGATTCTGTCATCTTTTTTGTATCTGCTTTTGAACCTGGTTCCTCAGCTAAGTCCTGTGGTGGTACTTTTTTTGGTTTTTTCCTTTTTCTGTCACGCAGCACAGGATTACTATTGCATAATGCCCCATCTACAGCATCCCCTGTAACACACTGAGCTCGCTCCACTTCACTCTCTTTGTTCTTTTTATTGCTTTCTAGTTGCATTTTTTGACTTTTGGAGGCACTGCCATTGTTCAAATAAACTTCTGAATATGTTGTTTCCTCCTCCTTTTTCTTCATCTTCTTCTTTTTCTTCTTACTGACTTCGTTATTACCCTTGAAATTCTTCCAGTGTCTCTTTCCAGACAGCTCTTCTTCCTCAAGCTCAACTTCTTGCTGTGCTGGGAGATGTCTATCAGGAATGCCTTGACTGCAGTCTGGCTTATCTTCTTCACAGGTTGAGGAAGAAGTATCTTTTCTCTTCCTCTTCTTCTTCCTCTCTTTGATATACCCAAAGTTATTAATTTTGTCCCCTTCCTCTCTGTTTGTCAATGTAAATTCCCAGGAATTATGTTTCTTCCTTTTTCTGAAGTCACTTAATGCAATGGGGCTACCAGGACCTCGATGTACATTGTCCTGATTATCTGTCAGTGGTAAAAACCAGTCAGACTTATCTTTCTTTTTCTCCTTCTTCTTTCTTCTCACACAAGTCTCCCCACCATTCTGGGCATAACCTGTGCCATAGTTTTCACCCATAAAAACTACTTCTTGTGTGATGTATTTTTGGGTGTTTTTACAAACTTTGGCAGATTGCTTTTTTTCACTGTCCTGGATGTCCTGTAATGAAAAACTGTGTTTCTTCTTTTTTTTCTTTGTTACCTCACCACCCAACTCCAAATCCAAAGCAGTACTCTTCCTCTTTTTTTTAAAAGAGAATTCACTTCTATTAGTAGAATCTCTGTGATGATTTGAAAGGTCCACGTCACTACTCTCATTATTCTCCAAGGAGAAATGACACTGGACATTTCTCTTCTTCTTTTTGAGTATTTTAACTTGTTCCTCTGATTCTTCTTGAAGTTGTAAATCCAGATGACCTTTTATATTCACAAAGCTTTCTAAATGAGGTTCTCTGAGTAATTCAGACACAACTTTCTTCTTCTTCTTCTTTTTCTTACTGTTCTTTGGTTGCGACTTGTATAAATATTCATCTTTTAAATCCTCCTTTTTCCTTGTCTTTGTTTTTTTCTTGAGATGGCCACTGTCCCCAGTTTTAATGACAGTTTGAACATCTTCCTCAATTTTAATGATTGTCTTCACCTTTTTCTTTTTCTGTACAGGCTCCTCCAGAAATTCTTTTCTCTTTTGCTTTATTATCATTCTAAAAAAGGAAATTAAGATGTTAGTGAACTGCTTCAAAGAAATGATGCAAGTCCTAATCTACTTGGTTTTTCTTCATTCTGACCATTCCTTATCTCCCACTGTCCCTGACAATTTCTGATTTCAGTCTGCTTTCAATGATGGAACCAGAATATACTGACATACAGACACATACTGAAAATTCTGTTTACTGGGGTGATTCTTTTTATCGTGTTGTTTAGTACCTTAACCTAGAGTTAGTTTGCAAGGCTCTGTGTTTCCCAGCAGCAGATCATAAAGTTTTTACAGAAATACCCTCTAAATATCTTTCTGAAATGCAAAACATAACCATGTGTATACATACAAATACAATTAGAGTGGTTTTCCAGACACCTGTGACTTTTCACTTAACACTGAATTTCACATCACTTTACTGCCCACTCAGCATTACAAGATCCTTTCAAGGCACCTCAATTATTACCTTGAATTTGCTTCTATCTGTGATTTCTTATCTTTGCTCTCCGTTTCTTTTCTCAGGACACTTTTGCCAATGAACTGATTACAACAGAGAAGCCTTTAGCACCCACTTGCTAGGAAACTCAATTATTCCTACTTGGTTTGCAAGAATACACAAGACGTTAACGAGGCACCCTACCAAATCCCCGTAAGGAACACCCAGGCTAGCGCGGCCCCTCTCCCTGTCTGTCTGTGTCTGTCCGGGCCTCCCGCCGGGGCCGCGGTGCCGCAGCTCAGCCGTGCCCGGCCGGGGCTGAGCCGGCCCCGGGGCTCACGGCGCCCATCGCCGGCTGCACACCGCGGGGAGGGGGTACCGGCCCGAGTCCCGCCCCGCTCCGCGGCAGCTCCCTGCACGGCCTGGCGCGGCCGCCAGCGCATCCCGCGCGGGCCGTGCCGTGCGGACCGGACGGGACGGTGCCGTGCCGTGAGGGCCGTCCCGTATGGGCCATCCCATGAGGGCCGTGCCGTGAGGGCCATGCCGGGCCGCGCTCACCTCTCGCGCCACGTGCAGCGCGCGCCGCCGCCCCGGAAGCGATCGCGCCCGCCCCGCCCCGCCCCGCGCAGGCGCTGTCGGAGCCGTTGCCGCGGCAACGCGCGGGACGCGGCAATGGCGGCGGACGAGTCGCGGCCGAGCGGCACCGGGCTCGCCGCAGGTGGGAGCCCCGGCCCCGGCTCCGCTCGGAGCCTCCCGGACAGGGGTTCCGCACTGCCTCCCCGAGCCCTCTGGGCTCTTCAGGCCGCCGCTCCCCGCTGCCCGGCCAGCCCCGCCCTCAGCCGGGCACGGGGCTGTGCCCGCCCCACACTGGGTGCCCAAAACCGCCTCTCTGTCCCCCCGCACCAAGTCCATGAGCGTTTCTGCTCATGGGCGTGGTGTTGCTTTAATGTCGCATCTTCCCCAGAGACACGGCCCGAGTGTGTTCCCGCTGCAGCCGGGCCGTTCCGCCAGTGTCGGGGCCTGTGTCTCGCCCGGCTGTGGGCTCCCCTGGCGGGGTGCGCTCTAACCGGGTCCGTACCGCCCTGCGGAGGCACACAGGCCGCCGAGCCGGTACACAAATTAAATGGATACAAAACATCGATCCTCAGAGCGCCATTCCAATAGCAAAGCCCTTGACTCCTGCCAGAGTCCGGGAACGCTGAGATCGGAAAGCTGGGAGGCTGCAGTGCTGCAGCTCCCCAATGGGGCTCTCTTCACTCGGTACCTCCTAATGCCGAAAGTGGACATTTCGCATTAAAATGGCCATTTCCAGCGGAGTCAGACTGAGTGTTCTGGCTCAAGCCCCCTGTGACACACGTGGCTTTGGGTTGCCGTTCATCCTCCGTGCAGTGGTGGAACTGAGCCTGCTCCCTTGGGCTCAGCGGTCTCTGTTGTGGGATCTGTAGGTTTTCTCATCTCAAATTCGTTGTCTTGGTCCTTTATTTTTAGCCTGAGCCACTCAGTAATCCTTGAGGGTCATGTACAGCTTTTAGTTCGTCGGTTTTTTGTTTGTGTAGGTTTATTTTTTTTCTTTCCTTTTTATTTTCTAAGTGGAGACAGTAATACTTGGCAATGTTTGTGGGATTTAATTGCTTAAAGATGAATCCACTATTAAAAGCAGTCTTGTCTACTAGTAAAAACAATGGTTACTTCTGTGCGAGCATGTGCATTTTACTTATGTTGAAATATTTTGAATTATTATTTTGGTTAAAATTTTTCCCAATAAAGGGTTATTTTGTCAGTGAGAACTTGGCACTTGACTTAAAGCTCTGGAGAGGACATGACAAGAGTCTCTAAAGTTCTTGCTTGTTTTAAAATGTTAGATTTCATGTTAAACAAATATTTATTGCATACTAATTTTGTTCTTTCAAACCTAAATAAAAACCTTTAAAAATAATGTTGGTTTAGAGGAAAATAAATATTGTTTAGGGTCTCCTGATAAATGTATTTTTTTTTTTTTACTTTTAGAGCATGAAGCTCAATTTTTAGATGTTCCTCAATCAAAACAAGGATCAGTAAGTACAGTTAAAGTAAAAAATCTGCATAGTGATGGATTTAAAATATTTTAAACAGCTAAATGGGAAAATTAGATACCCACAGGGTAGACTCATTCATAAAATGAAGCTATTATCTTTCAAACAACCTCTTTGAACCAACAAATATAATATTCCTAATAATTGCTTGTAATTGAAGCAACTTGGGTAAAGCTAAAACGAAAAGTTTCTTTTCTTTGAAAGGTGAATGTCAGGACTTATGAACAATATGAAAGAGATACATAAGCTTCTGAGTGGAAAACATTTTTCCAGAAAATGTTACTAGTATTAATTTCCAAACGATTGCTATTTCTTACAATGGATAGAGTATTTTTAAAATTGTGGTATCTCACCATATTCTCTCAAAAGGAGTCATATACCTTCTGTTAGGTTTGGATGATTTTACTGTGCTGGAAAATGCAGAAGTTTTTAAAGTATAGTTATATATTTTTAAGTATTCAGAAAATAAATAATGCAGTGTTTAAATAAGAAATTATAATTCTATAATTTTTAGCTGTATATTTTTTTTTCTGTTGAATTGGATTGTATATTTTTATTTAGTCTGCTGGGGTATTTAGGCAGGATACATTTATTTTGAACAGGTGCCTTTGGAAAGAGCAAAGTTGCAGCCATTACTTATGGAACAACTTTTTTCTGACCCTGCAACCCAGTATCGGGTTCCCACACTTGGGGAAGCCCCTTCTGGAGACCCCCCTGATCCAAAAAAATGTAAGTAGGAGTATATTATCTTGAACCCTGCTGTGATTATTTTTCTTGCATATGGCAAGGGTTTTGAATTTATTTAATTTAGAGTGTTAACAGCAACAACACCTTTGGTTGTGTGGAATTTGCATGGTTAGGCCTCTGCTCTGAAAACGGGGAGATTGGCCAGTTGGTCAGTGGAAGAAATATCAACTTTTGCATTACAAACCAGTAACATTGACTAGCTAAGGTAGTTCTGTGCATTTCTGAATAAGTGACTTTTTATTTAGTCACTTAAACTAGAAATAGCAGGCATTTCTACCTCTGATTTAATAATGCAAAACTAGGATCAATAGACTAAGTAGAAAATTGAATTTGCAAACTGCTGTCAGAATACTGTCTTTACCCATCTGATTACCGACTAGAATGGAAACAGCTCTGAAGTTTTGTTCTTTCACTTTTACCAATTCCTATACTTTATAATAAATTTAGCAAGCAGCAATGTGTTTTTATTATGCATTTTAGCCCTTCATTTTGTCTTCTCTTCCATTAATTCTTGCTCATTAGGAATTCCTGGTGCAAGTCAGAAGCAGTGTTACCCTTGGCTTTTATAAATAGTGTCCTCCCAATTATGAGCATTTCCTGGCAGTATATGAACCAGTTAAAGGTATAAAGCTGAGAATAAATTCAGTGTTGCAGCTGTGTTGCCAGAAGAGAACACTCCATGACTTAATCTTTGCTTTGCTGATCACACCAAGACCTCAATACTTCCCGAATGGAGAGAGGTGCCAAGCCACACAGTCCTCAGAGAGGGGAAAAGTTGGATATATGGAGTTGTGTTAAATTCTCTGAAGGATCTGGCAAGTATGAAGCAATTATGACAAAGAAATCACAGCACCACTAAAATATAACCTTTGGTTTTTCCTCTGTCTAGAAATTTAGTTTTATGACTAACTCTGATAATGCAGATTGTAAAGGGCATGAGATATCAAAGTGGTCTAACTGCAACAGTGCTGAGTTCAGCACAGGCTAATTTCCTCCTGTCAGGGTAAATTAATTCACAAAACTTTTCACTTCTGTGACTAAACTGCTTCTGGTGTATGAGTTTATTCACTCAAAACTAAATCTGACATATCTGAAGCACAATGAGTTTGCAGTGTTGGTGCACCTTTAGTTTGAAATTTACTCAACTTTGTGTTGTGTTGGCTGAGGAGAAGTGAAGACAGACCCGTGGCTGAAGGGAACAAATCTGCTTTGTCCAAGCTGTGATGGTATTGACAAAATGACTGGTACTGACTCTGTGATATCTAATGGTTGTGTGTTTGTGAAATTCAAGTGCTTAGCTGTAGGTGAAGGCTATCCTGTTTTGTTCAGGTTCTCCTCGAGAATACTTGGAGTTTTACATATTCCCAGTGCTCTTACCCGGACTGGCTGCTCTTGTGGAAGAAGCAGAGAAGGAGAAGTGCTTTGAGGTTAGTTTGTAGTTTTCATTTCAAATCACTGGCAGGAAGTTACAGGCTTTTTTTTCACAGGCAGTATATTTTTTTAATTTGGTCTTTTGCAAGAAAACCAACCACAATCATACGATATAACATAGCATGGGTTGTTTTGGATCTGGTTTTAAATGTTATTTGCTCCAGTAATTCAGAATAGGTTACATTCTACATGAACTTGATCATTATGACAATCTCTAGGTCCCTACAAATCGTCCTTAAATATCTGATTGTATCTAGCCTAAATGATGTTGTGTTGTGTTTTAGAGGAGCAGGTTTCCTTTCAGATTAATCCATTTCACTCATTTGAGGGTGATGTACAGAACTTGAATTTTACCTTGTGACTCAATTATTTTTACTGGTCTGGCATTGTAATAGAGATAAATTTTCTATTTTAGCTTTTCTTTGTAAATTCCATTTAACTGGAAGACACAGTATCAAGCATGAATGAACTTATAAAAATGCAGATTTAAAAATAATTATTTGCTACATGTGTTTTTATAAATTTGTTTCCAGTGTATGTCTGGAGAGAAATTCCTCATTGTCTGTAGGAAATGCTTAAAAACCCACTAGAAATGGTGCAAAACATGGCACAAATGCATTCCTCATTGTATTGCTGCAGCCTAGCAGAGCCCCAGCAATAGCTTAGGTACTGGGAGCTGGGGGGATTTCCATCATTTCTGCTATTTTCTCAAACCATGTCAATTTGAATTTCAGATCCAAACCTGTACATTTAATACCAGTTATTTCAAATTTTTCTCGGTCTTCACGAAATCTGTGTGTGTCTATAAACTGATGGATGTACAGGTGTGTATATATATCTCTAATCTGTGATGAATACAGATGAAATTGGAAAATGGCTCACGTACATGACATCTGTCTGTCATTCCTGCCATCACATTTACATTACCTAGCCAAGAACAGATTGGACATATATATTATTCATCACACGTTTAATAAAATCTATATTGATTTTTTTTTCTTGAAAGCATGTGTCCTTTAAGAAAAAGGCATGTCCTACAAGTGGCTTATAATACAGGCTTTGATAGATGTTAGCTATTTCTGAAGGCAATAAAACTTAGATATAAAGATATTTTAAAAAATATTAAAATTCTTAGAAATATTTCCATTTAAAACTCAGAACAAATCTAAGATTACTTTGTCTGTTTTTAATTAATTAAAATTAATATTTTAATCAGATTTTAGTGATATTTATATTAGAAAGTGTCTGTGCTAAAAATGGATTTTGTATAGGTCTGTGTGCTGCTTTGTAGAAAACTACTAAGAGGAATTATTTTCTAATGTACAGAAACTTGATAAAAATGAGTTCATCTTATAGAAAACACACTTATGTGGAAAGATGCCCTGCTACTGGGGAGCCAAGCTTAGAAAAGCAAGCTGATGTCAGGTGATAGTTTTCCACTGTGACCTCATTTCTTCCTCCTTTTGAAGAATAACTAGGCAAACAATAGCTGTTTATGCTTGCCATATAATTGACTATTTGTGTTCTTTTCCATTACTGTCCAGGTGCTTGTACTTGCACATTCTGTTTCCTTATCTGACATAAAATGTGGTTTTAGTTATCCTTTAGGTTGGTAGGAAATGTGTTGTATGGATTTGGAGGCGAAAAACCCCAACTTGATATAATTTGTGTTAAAAAGGCTAATGAAATAACTTGAACTGAATTTTAGGATCAAAAGCAGAGTCCTTAGAAACCCAAAGTAAGAACAGGGAGAAAGGATATTGTGATAAACACATTGAAATACAACTTCCAAAAATAAGAGGACAACAAAGATTGAAAAGATTCATGGAATTCATGAGACAACAGGACATGAAGAAGATTAATTGTGATTAAACTAACTGAAATCATGAAGGATGAGAAAAGAATACTGAGTTTGAATTCTGGCTAGACATGGGTCATTAAAGCCTGTAAAGGGCAGTTGTATAGAATAAACCAGGGGAAGATAAATGGAAGAAGCCCTGGGAGGAAGGGAGGAATACTCAAACTGACTGCAATCAATGTTGAATGAGCCCAGGAGGAGAGAGGGGGAATGGCGAGAGAGAATGATGAGTGTGATTTTGATGAGAGGGACTAAAGGTTTTCATGTTTTGAAAGGAAATTAAGATGAATGGGAAGGAAAGGAAAAGTTAAATAGGAGAGGTTTTGAGCAATTGAAATTGTGTTAAGGAAGATCAGATCCTGGGGCCAGCAGAGGAATTCAAGGAAGAGCCCAGAGAAGGTGCATCTGGAGAGGAAGAATTGGACAATCACCTGGGAAAGTCAGGAAAGGGAAGTGGTTATGCTGGAAGTGGGGATTTGTGTAGGAAAGATCTTTTTTGAAAGGTGCTAAAGAGGCATAACAATTTACACATTTAATTTAAAATAGCCTCTCTTGCATTATGTGATCTGAAAAGCCAAAGCCTAGAAAAACCAGCAGCTGCTAGATATATGTTCAGACTTCAAACTGACATAAAGATGAGAAAAGTCTGCAGAAGCCTCATTTTTAAATTAGAGATTAAAGAAACCTATTAGGTTGCCCAGTGTATTTCCTCACTGGTTTTTTTTCCCCTACCATAAGTTCTCCTGTGTTTTATCCCATCTGCTGTCAAATGCCTACAGGGGAAAGACTATTTTCTTAAATCTTTTCTCTCATGAGAACTGACTAATGCATTAATTTTTCAGCATTAAACTGAACAATGTATATAAAGTGTTTTTATTAGAATAACTCTGACTTTTCTTTCTAGTTATCTATCACAGAAGGAGGAAGCTGTATCAGGCTCTGTAATGGAATATATTATATTTAAAATTATGATAGATTGGGGAAAGGGAATGGAAGGTTTCCTAATGACTTTGCCATCTTCTGATCACCAGTATAGTTTCATGATTATTACCAAGCACATCGTATTTAAACTGAAAAATGGAAAATGAATTCTGAATGTAAACAGTTTATAAACACATCTGCAGGTTAACAATGCACATTGTACAGATATTTCCTGTTTTTATCTGGATTCATGCAGCATAGGAGGAATGTGTCAAAGGCAGGTCAATTTATGTAATTTTTTCCCTTTATGAATGTTGACTGCTGTGCAACTAATGATTTAATTCTCTAGCAAAATAAACTGTTTCCTGGCAAAGAAAATAAAATAAAAAAAATATTCAGCTTGATTGAATTCCTCTCTGCTAAGTTCATTGCCTCTAACAAGGATAAAACAAGATGAATTTGATTCCTTTGGTGATGGCTGTTTTGACAACCCTGTTCTGATCGTTTTTTCCCATTGCAAAGGAAAAGCAATTTACTTAGATTAAATTACAACTGCTAGATTAAATTGAATTTTGCTGTCAAAGTGTAGAATTTATTCTCTGAAACAATTCCCTAAGTAATGGGACCCATTTTCATCCTGTGACTGAGAATAGCTGTACAGTGACAATCAGACAATGCTGTTTGCTCAGAGATTCTGTGCAAGTCAAGATTTGTCCATTTAACATCTGAAGTGACTCACAGAAAGCTTTGCAGTGAAGGTATTGGTCTCTTAAAGTTTAGGTGTTTGGCTTCTTGGAAGAGCATTTGGTATTGGCATAAATGTGAAAATTGCATGAGGAGCTTTGTTTCTTCCCAGCCAGGCACTTAATGGAGCTCTACCTGAACCCCAAAGCTTTGGTTGTCACAAAAGAGGTCATTAAGGCATGTATGGCTCAGGATTAATAATTGTTTTATGGTGATCTCATCTTCTGTTCTTCTGCTTTCTTTTGCTCTCTCTCTCTTTTTTTTTTTTTTTTTTCCTGTTGAAGTCAGACCATATTTCTACCAAGGGTAAGATTCCCTTGGAAAATTAAAAGCTTTCCTGGATATCCTGTAGGACTGCCCTGCAGTCCAGCACTAAACTTCACACTTGTCATCCCCCAGCTACATGACTTCCCTGTGTTCTTCCCTGGGCAGTCAGCACCTCACACAATGTTCCTCTTCCACTTCACCTGTGGCTGACCCCCAAATTATGACATATACCATGAATTGAAAGAATTAGGCTATGTAGAGCATTTTTTCCTGTCTCTCTGTTCACATCCGAGGATAATGCATAGAATAAATTCATTTTTCATGCATTAGATATTCAATTACATGTTTATTGTATTTTCCCTTGTAAGTGGTAGTAGTATCTTAACTTCTTACATTTTAATCAAGACTTCAGCCTCTTTTGTGACATTAAGCAGTTTCACAAAAGCATTTGACTGGTGTGAATTGTTTTCCTAAGAAGCAATTATTACAGCTGAATCTCCTGTTTGATGGATAAGTGGTGGGATGGGAGCTCAGCTTGCTTTTAGCTCAATGGCTGCTGTTGTGATGAAGCACTTGGTGCCCTGGGGCTGCAGGGGTTCAATGTCTTTTAGGGCTCACTCTGACTGTGAGCATCCAGAACACATCTCATGTCAGAGGGGTTCTCAACATGCTGATCAAGCTCTCCTGTTATTCCAACCAGAACTCCATGTTCTATTCTCCACGTGATGGTTACTGTGGTTTGTGACAAGCAGAATGAGCGCCTGTACTCATTTATACATTCAATCTGTCAAGATGGAATGTGGAGAGGAAATCCTTAAAAAAAATAAGGATTTCCTAATCCATTTTGGCTTTATCAAAATTCAGGCTCTGAATGGCTGGCTGTGGTACTGGCTGCACAAGTCCCTAAGGATAACCTGCAGTGCAACATTTTGCAAAATCCTTTTTATTCATTAAGATTGAGAACTGGGAGCAAAGAGCACAAATTTTTTGCTGTGAAGCTCCAGGTTTTGAACTTTTTACCTGGTTCTCTGTAATGTCCATAGTTTCTGTGGTTGTGGACAGACAAAAGCCTTCCTTTGGCTTTGCCTTCCTTTCTGGACACCCAGCAGATAATTTGGTCAGAGCAGCCATACAATGCTCTGTGTATATTCACAATGTCTTCAAACTGGTTCCATGCATGAGGAAACAATATCCAATCAATGTTCCTTCTGTGTTTTGGAAGAAATGAAGTATTTTGAGTATGATAATAAACTTTAAACAAAATGGCAAGGAATTTACAACATATTTTCATGTATGAATGAGTTCTGTTAATTGCTTCACAATGACATTGCCACTTAGAACACCATTCAGAGATCTTTGTTCTAGATACACTGTAGCAAATATCAAGATAATTTATGTAGAATTTTCTCACTCATAGTTTGTCTTGAAATCATTCCACAAAATTTCTAAAATTTTGGCTGAACCACTGTCTGTTGGCTGTATCTATAAAGAGTAGACAGAGTAATGTACTGTATATTTTATTTAATAAAAGCAGTCAATTTAGCTTAAACATATGACCAATCCAAAGATAATAAATAATTTGAAACTATCTTCTATCTTTAGGGGAAAAGAACCAAATTTATTCCCTCTGATTTCCTAACTGAGTGGTTATACAAGTAAGTTAATCATGTTTTTTTGCTACTAAGTGTGTTCAGTGATTCCAAGGCTCTAATTTGCAAATTGAATAGCTGAAATTTAAATTAATATGAGTTGTTTTCCTTTTTCTTTAGCAAGAATCCAAAGAGGAAAGATGAGTCATTCACAGAATTGTTTTCCATTCCTTTTGTTAAGGACTGGCTAAAGGACCAGTAAGTTGTTGCTGTACTCAGAATGATCTTTTATCCTTTTATTCTTTTGCCCCTGCTATCCCAAAAAAGAGCCTCAATGTGTTGCAGCTGTGCCCTCAAAAATGCCCTTTACTGTGTGCAACAAAGAACGATGTGATAGTTTCTAACTGGCTAGTGTATTACAAGGTATTTTGTACCAGAATTGTTCACAGATAAATTAATTTTGAATTCCTAAACATTTTAATTGTAGAATGCAGGATATTTGAATAGTCTGGTAGTGTTATGAAGATCTTTGTACTAAGGAGTAAAGCAATGTTTTCAGTGCTGCTTCCTCCTATGGAAATCTTTGAGAGTGTAGGCAACAAATTCTTCTCTAACTGTAAGCAGCTGCTTTCGAAATACCTGTAACAATCCTTGGTGTCAGGATGCATTCCTGCAGACATTTGTGACTGAGAAATGAGCACTTGATTTTGGCAGCCTCAATCATATATTCTGTGTTATTTTTGTAGAACCAAGCAGCACAATAGTTTTGAAAGAAATGCTACTGTCCTTGAGACTGCATTTACTTTAAAATATAGCATCTGTGTGAGAAAAGCAAAGGATTAGTCCATAGTGAGGGAATAAGAAACTAGCAGAGGTCAGATTTTAAAGAAAATTTTCAAATTGAAAACTTAACTGGGATCTGGATTGGTAATTGGTGAAAACATAGAGATTAATATCTTTGTAGATACATTTACTTTGTTGCAGGATGTATGTGGAAATTGAGCTTTTTTTGAGTTCTTGACATGTGGCACTTGGAATCTTGAGACACCAATGGAGCAAGAGGGAAGTTCCTTATCACAGGTCTGTGGATAAGCTGTCAAAAGGGTTAACTTTGATTCCCTGAGAGGTGGTCATGTGGCCAGAGTTGTGTAGGACATTTCTGCAGTATGAGACCCCTTTGGAGAATGACCCATTTCATCCCAACTCTGATACCTTCGGCCATTGTGCTGTCCTTCCACTGCCACTGCTGTTCAAAGCTGCCTCTGGTGGGACACATCTGCTCCATTCTGTCACACACACTTCTTGCCAACAAGATGCCCATTTAAGGCTGAGGTTTGATGCTTTGTAAAGTGAGCATGAGCTGCAGCCTGGCTGTTGTACCCATCTCTTTAAGCACACAGAAGAGCCCTTGGCCAGTAAGGCAGTTTTGATACAGCGGGCTTGTGAGGATGGATGTTTGTACCAAAGGTAAAATCTCTAAGATCAGTTTTACAGATGTTTCTCTTGGAGGTAAAGCTGAGCAAAACATTCTCTGTTCTTCACCCCAACCTGCTGTAGGCACCCTAATACCACCTTGTCTGTTTGGTAGGCTTCTTGATTATTCTGATCAGGGCCCTACTCTGAGTTAGGAATCTCTCTGCCAAAATGTGTGAGGAGGGTTTGTAAAGCTATTTAAAACAGGTAATTTCTCCACTCTGCTTCACCTTGGAGAGTGACAAACCTGTGTATTGGCACAAACAAAGGATTAAAATGAAGGGCTCAGGGCAAGGTGAATAGAATAAATGAGCTGCTAAGATAGAGAGGTGGTGGCAGGAACTGCTTAAGTCAGCTTTGCCAACAAGAGAAATACACTGTGGAATCACAGCCTGAATGACTCATAGCTTCTGTTAGTAGTGGTGCTCCTAAATAACATAGTGACAGCTCCACAAGGACACTGGAGTGTCAGAGTCCTACTGAAGTTGATACACTTCATCTTAAATGCTCTAAACCAGTAGGCTCTTAAAATAATAATTATTAAAATTATTATTAAATAACTACTTTTAGTGAGCTTATCCTAAAATTACAGATTTGAAAAATGCTGCTTCTGGAGTAAATATTATTGGAGCAAAGTGAAAGGCTGCAATATTAAATAAGAATAAAAATAAGAGAATTTATTATTATGTCCTGCATATGTCATAAATAGTTTATTATTATATCTTTCCAGCCATCAGATTAAAATGTAATTGATTCTGTTTTTTATTGTCATTGCCATTTCTATTTTTAAAGGAGTTTTCATTTTTTTAACAAGATTAAGAATATATAAGAGACAACATACTAAAAAGTGCTGGTCAAATTTTGATGAAAAACATCCTTATGCCAATTGTTTAGATGGGTTTATCAGTTCCGAGCAGTCTTAATGCTTAAAAAAAAACCAACAAAAACCACCAAAACAAAAAAAACCCAGAGGAATTTTGGTTTTGTTCTATCCGAGATCCAGCGTTTAAAAATATATTCAATACTTGAGTATGACTTTTTTGGCTCTCCTCCAGTGCCTCCAGTTTCTTCTTTGAAGATCCTTTTTTTTTTTTTTAAAGAATAGTCAAAGCCACAGTCTTATGAGCTTCACTTTCTGTGCAATGCGTTTCAAAATGAGATCTTGCAGCCTACTTTTCCCTAATAAGGAGACCTAAATGCTGCTTCAGTTTTCAGAATTTTAAATGCAAACCTTGTACCTTCAAAGCCTAGTTATTGTAGGTGAAGGAGCTTGTAACATTTGAATTTGTTTCCAGCTTTAGTGTAATAATTGCTGACATCTTAGTATAGGTACCCTGTATTCCACTGAGTTCTGTATGTTACCAGGAGTGCTGACAAAATATTACATCTCTTGGGAATCTTCAATTCCCCAAGCACATTTCAAAAGCAACAGAAGGAGCAGCTTCAGTGCTGACTGGAAATCTCCATATCACATGCCAGACATTTCTGTTGCCTCAAAGGACAGCTGCACCTTTCAGAGGGCAGGAAAGTGGACCTTGAACACAAAACCAGCACATGTTTGTTGGGTGCTTGCTGAGATACAAACTCATGTACCTGTTCCTCCATTCGAGGCTGCTGGTAGAACCAAGGAAACAGAATTAGAGCTGTGAATGTTCTGTAATCCTATAAATATGCTAATGAGCACCACAGTTGCCTTTTGTCAGCATTTTCCAGTGGTGTTTCTGGTTGAACAGCACTGAAGCTCAGTTGCAAGTAACCAAGCTCTGTGTACTGAATCAGGGCCAGGGAAAGTCAGTGAGCTCTGATGATGCTGTGATCCCTCTGAAATTTTACTTTTCTGGCATAGATAGTCTGAGTAACATGGCAGCATCATTTCCCAACCTTTTTTAGCATATTAATGAAAGAAATATGAAAAAACCAATAAAACACTCCCTCTGCTCTGAAAAACAATGATATCATAAAAGTCTGTCATGTGAATTTAACAATTTGACAGCATTGTTCAATATAAACCTCGACCTTATATCCAATAAGAGAGAGTGGTACATGGTATATGTTAGGAACAAGCATAAGTATTTCATGGCTTTTGAAGTTCACATAAAAAATAATTCACAGGATTTTTTTAATCTGTATTTTCTCCTTTTTTATTAGAGAGATTTACTTGCTACCCAGTTCAGAAGGACACATTTCCTGGTTTAATCTATCTGCATGTACCAAAACAAGTGTACAGACACAGAGAAAATATCTTTATCATGCCCTTACTGAAGTGGGCAGCTAAGATATAAACAATTACTAAATTTGGAGTAGTGGCTTTTTGCCAAATATCTGTATACACATATATATACATTGATTATTTTTTTCTCCCTCCCCCAGATATTTTAATTGGGTGAAGTCTGCTGGTCTCAGCTGCCTTTACAGTTGATTTCATTGTCAGCTCTCAGATGGCAAATAGGGCTAATTTTGCATGGGTGACTGATTTTTTTCTTTCCATAATATGCCCAGTTTCTACAGGCTGTGCTTTCTGCACACTGCCATATTTAATTGGTGTGTGTCTAAACCAGCCATGTTTGGAGTATGCTTCATTTGCCTTATATTTTCTTCTTTCATTTTCTTTAATAATTTGAGCTTTAAAGAACATTTTATTGTAATAAAGTCCAACAAATACATCTCCATGGATGTTATTCTGTGTGTTTCCAAGTAAAAATTGCCATCCAAGTAATGTGGCAGAATTCAAGTTAACAAAGGAGAATTTTTTGCTTAAAAACTGTGTGTTGAAATACTGCAGAAATTTTCAGAGTAAAATATTTATATTTTGTAACAATGCTTTATGGGGTTGAAGGTTTTATGGCTGTAATATCTGATGCATTAAAAATGCTTTAATTTATATAAAGGTTGTCAAAATGGCAATGAGAAAACTGAACATTTATTAGTGCTTTGTGATATCTTCCTAATGTTGCTGTTGGCGCACTAAGGGGAGCTTTTCCATGTTTTCACCATACAAAGTCTGACCTAAAGTACACAAACATAGATGGAAATTTTCCTGTCGACATGAGTGGCCTTTGGAATAGATCCATGTTTGGTTTCCTTCAGTCCGGGCCCACAAACACTCTCACTGACTACATAAATATTGGTCCTAAGAGAGAGAAAGCTGAGGCAATGCTTTGTGACTTCCAAAATCCATAGCAAGTATGCAAGCACAGGAGAGCTGAGTTGGAGCATTAAAATGGACACGTCCTCCCAAGGAGAGGCAAGAAATCCACTGAAATCTTCAGACAGAACTGAAGACAAAAGATTCTTGCTCTGCTGTTTTTTGGCATGTTCTCATCACAAAGACTTCTTGCTGTGCTTCCTCCAATTCCTCTGACATTCTTGTTACAAATCACCTGTTCTGCCTCAGTCTCCTGTTGGTTACATGACTCTGCCTCCCCACATAACAACTTTGTCATGTTAGTTCCACACTGTCTTGTCTTTTTATCATGTCTTTTCTTCATTATAAATAGATAAGCAAGTATATAAATAGCTGGTATGTGTTTAACAGTTGAATGCATATTGTCACTATGGTGACTTTAATAGCACTCTCAAATGTATTTATAACATTTTTTAATTCTATTCACTATTGACAGTATAAAGGAGCTTTTATTTGGACAATATGATAGAGAAGAAGAGTTCTTGTTAGTAGGAATCACACTTTAAAATGTCTACTTGGTTGCAGTTCCTCTTTTAAGAGGTTTAAATTTGGTTTTAATTTACAATCCTTCAAAAATGTACTCTCCATATAATGCACTAAAATGTTTTATTGTATATTGTAAGGGTTTTGTTTTTCTCAAATACTAATAATATTCTAATGCATTTAGATTGTTGTAAAAGAAAACTAGTGATTAGGAATTTATTTCTGACTATGGAATAATTGTAATAATACTGAAAATGTTATAAAGGTCTCAGTTCACACTCTATATGACCTGTGAAAATGTTTCAGGGTACTCTTGTCAAGTGTCTATGGGAATATTTCCCTGGAAATCTAAGAGGCTCATACAGTGCCTGTGTAACATTTGATCAATATATGTAATTGATTTTAAATACCAGGCCAGATGAATCAGTACTTCAGTGTCTGATTGCTTATGAACCACCATTTTCCTGCTTTTTGGGTAAATGACCTTCATAGTATTTGTAAGCAGAGATTTTTGAGACATTTATTTTGAATCAGAACAGTACTTTTTCATTATTGCACACTTTTGGAGATCGGGATAGGCATGTAAGAAGAAAGACATAAAGAAGGCAGCTGTTGCTGTAGTGTTTCTTGATCCTAAGAAATACTGCAAATATGAAAGATAACTACTTTGAGAAATTTCCAGGAGAGCTTTTTTGGTTGTTCAGACCAGCACGGGATTTTTTTGAGTATTTCCCAAAACAGACTTTTTCAGAATGTTTTTTAAAGAGTTATACAGATCATCACAGTCATTTACTTGTGTGTCTTACATTTACCCCTATTCTGTGGCCTGTTCTCTTAGATTATGATTTTTTCAGTGACTCTGTCATTGCCTGTGTTCCTACATGATCTAAATATTCAAGAACAATAACCATCACAGTCAAACTATGGCTGTGGTACTGAAACTCAGGAGTCTCCTCATCCTTTTCATTAGGGTTGCTTCAGTATTTGTAGAGAAGATATTTCTAAAAGCAGAGAGAAACCCAGGCCCTTCTGTGACTGCACCTGGAGATTCCTCTCTCACCTGCACACCACCAGCCCCAGGCAGTGCTGCTCTCTGCAGGCACCTGGCTCTAAGGCTGCTGCTTAAATGGGGGGGTTGTCTGCTACTGTTAGGAAACAGATTGGAACAGGGAGAGCCATTACAAAACCTTGAATTATATATTCTGAAAATTTTCTTGATTGAATTTTTTCTTATATTTTGTTTCCAAGGAAGGAATCAGGCCTATTTGTAAGACAGATTGGGACTATGAAGACAGAGTTTCTGACAGGGCATTACTGTGTGGAAATACTGCCAGAATTCAGTGCCCATCACTGTGACTATGAACCCCCAGAGATTTTGTCTATTTTGGAGACAAGATAATGGAGAGACACTTTTCCTCCCTCTTTCAGAGTTCATTGAGAACCCCACCTTCTCTCCATGAGGAAATCAGATACATGTCTTCATTAAGAACCTTTTTCAATGCCTCCTACATTTATTTAATGCAAGTCTGTTTTATATCTTCAGGGTGTGAAATTCCACTTGCATAATGTCATATAAGTAGTGAATATCTCACTGACTCAAGATCTGTACAAGTTTGCTCAGAAAGCAAGAAACGTGTTTCTGGAATTTAACTTTTCTCAGTGTCTGCTTTATGCAGATTTGGTAAAATAAAATACTTAAGAAAAAAAAATTATCTCTTTTACAGGTGCAACTTATGTTAAGCAGTAAATGTATATGTAAGTAGATATCACTGTATCATATGTGGGCTTTTAAGATCATGCATAATCAAGGACTAAATAAGCAGAATGTAGTTAGTGTACATTGTGCTGTCAGTTTGCATCTTGGAGGCATACAGCTGTCTTCTGCCCAAATGACAGACTCCTCTTGCCCTCATTCACTGCTGAGGGGTGATTGCCTCTGCTCAGATTCTATTTTTATTTGACCTGCAGAAAACTGTGTATATTCTCCATTTATACCCTTAGACCAAACTGGAGCTGGCATGACTTCTGGTCTTTAGAGCTGTGCCATTGAAAGGATTGGTATCTGCCAGTGAGTGTCATACTAAAAATTAAATCCCAGTTTTGCTTGATTTTTTTTTTATATTGCTTTCTCAGTTTTAGTGTTGGATTATAAACTAGACGTTTTTATAATTTGAAAATGAAAGCAAAGAAATGCTAGAGTTGACCTTGCAGGCTAGGAGAAATCTCAAGTTGTTCTTTGGAGATGTACTTATTCTTAGAGGAAGTTCAGTGTCTTTGATATAACTGCTGTAAAATATGTATGTCTTCCTGTGATTTTTCCCTAAGTTTTGGTTTTCAGAAAGATCTAAAATAGAACAGAGGATGAAAGCCTATCAGGGAAATAAGCACAGTCCAACTTCAGATTTTTAAGTCTGATTATAAGAAGCTGTTATCTCAGGAAGCCTTGCTTGTCCAGCATTTATGATTTCCCCTGAGCAGGAGAAATGCTAATTAATGTTCACAGAGCTAAGATGGTTTAGCTCAACGGAGAGACTGCTTTTTATTTTTGCCTTATTTCGACTTTTCCAAACAGACCAAGGTTTTACTTCACATTAAAATAAATGTAGGCCAAAACCCAGCTGACATGACGATGAGACCAATTTAGCTGAATACACAGACTAAAACGGTGGAGTCACTGTAGCATTAGATAAGAGGTAAGGCTGTGCTCTAAGTTGAAATGCTCCTGCAGTGGAGACAAGCCCTAAGAGAAAGACATCAGAGAGCATAGGAAGCTTACTAGGGCAGAGACTAATATGAATGAAATTAAGTGAAAGGAAAATGTAAGCTGTCAAGCCTCCTAGCTTGGGCTGTAATATGCCATAAATAAATTTCCAAAAGAAATTGCAGCATTTTAGCCAGAAAATGTAAGACTGCATAAATAAATAGCTTGTTATTAATGGGCTTTGCAGTGTACGTGTCTTTATAAAATAAATACTATAGATCATGTTTCTGCATGGGCTGCATGTATCTGTGGGTGGGTGCTGCATCCAAATTCATCATGGTGTGTTCTTCCAAGTCAGGGCTGTGTTCAGTCTGTTCCCCATGCAGGGAGAGTGGCTCTTGGCAGCTGTGCCAAGGCTTCTCTTTAGAACTGGTATTTTCATCAGCTGCAGTGTTATTACCCTATAGTTCACTGGCTGCAAATTACATTTCTTATAAAAGACAGTATAGAAACAAATTTGGTTTTATCCTTTCCAATGGATGATTTTTTTTGGTCATTGTGTCTGGAAATTAAATTAACACCCATAGAAAATGGCTTTTGGGAAGCAAGGTTTGATATAGTCATGTGAGATTTTGCTGGTGATGGCTGAATTTAATTACTAGCTTGTTCCCATTAAAATTGGTAGCAACAGAATCACCAAATGTGCTTTCAAATTATCATATATTTTGGCTGAAAATGGTTGAGTTCACAAATGTATTACATTCTTTTATCACCAAAAGAAAGTGTATATGGTATCAAAAGTAAAATCTCAGCATTTCAAGAACTTGCTTAGACATTTGTAAACATGGATTCATGCTATGCAGATATGATAATCATTATTTTTCAGCATGTTTTAATTTAAAGTGACACCATAATGTAAATGAATGTACAAAGATATGTTTATGTTCTGTGTATTTCATGTAATAAACATTTACATCATAAGTCTGTTCATTGTTGCACACACACTAAAGCCTTCCTTGCTTTACAAATGGCAGAGTGCTTTCCCTTGCCCACCTCAAACCTTATCATAATAGAAGGAGTTTGAAATACATGTACAAGAATAAGGAATATGACTGTGCTTGATGTGCCATTTGTATATTATTGTTTTAAGAAGGAATTTTTGTAGTGCATATTAACAATATATTTCTAAAGGAGATATTCTTTGTGCATTTTGTTTTCAGAGCAGTAAGAAATTGTGTCTTTCAGGCTCCTAAACAACATTTCTCTTTTTGATAAAATATACTGTTAGGCAAGAAAGTGTTATACATTTATAGGCTGTCTGTTTAAAAAAAAAATTTTTTTTAAGTCCTAGACCACCAACTCCTCTATCTCTGCTTATATCAGAAGAAGAAGCAAGCATACTAATTCAGTCCTTCTGGAGAGGTTATCGGGTAAGAGTAATCTATAATTATTTTGCTTGATGTTGAAAACTGTAGGACTGTGAAGGCCCCGGGGAAAATCCTTACATAAATTTTAAGTAGGGGATACTATAAATAGCTGCTGAGACCCCTATGGTTCATTGGCTTTGGATGTTGCTCTGCCTTATGCCTAGTGACTACAGTTTTTTCACAGGCATTTATGCTGATGTAATCTCACTGTTTTCCTCAACAACAAAAAATCCACAGAAATTCGATTTTCCAAAGTACAATTAACACTGAACGATTTTCTTTCTTTAATTGAAAGTTGCTTTGGGTAGTTCTCGAGGATGGAGTGTGACTTTGTTTCATGCAGGGATATGTGAGTGAATGTGGGGATGCATGAGGATTGGTGAGGTCTCTTGAGAAATAAATGCACACAGAAAGAAAGGACAAGGAATTGAGACCAAGAATGAGACAGGAGATTTATGAGTGGCATGGAGGCTGTTATTCAAGGAAAAGGGAAACAAAATGATAAGCAGATGTTGTAAGGCATACTAGTAACACAGCATTAGTGCCATTCCCTGTTTAAGGGGGAAAAGAAAGGTACATAAAATAAATGCAAAGAAAATTGTCCAGTGCTATTATTTTGGAGAGTAACAGCCATGCTAACCCTAGGATACTAAATAAATTAATTTGAAAATCCTAAAAAAGTTTAAAATAAAAAATATATTTTTTAAAAGCTTTAATACCTTCACACCTCAGGAAGAAATGGACTTGAAATTCAGGTGACTTTGGTGATGAAGAAATGTCTTTGACTTCCTTTATCAAAACTTAAGCTTCTAAGCAGCCTCCAGCAATTTTGTTGTGATGGACAGTGAGATATCTCTGGATGTCAGGTGCTCTTTAAATAACAATCAGTATAAAACACTCTGTTAAGTTCTCTACTATTTTTAATAAGCATGAATATGTAAGTGGCTTCTATAATGTTCTGTGCAGCCAAATATGATTAAATACCTTGAAATGTTCTTCTTGGCTGATGGATTTTTGTGACTCTTTCTGCTTGTTTGTTTTCCTTTATTTTTCTTTTTTTAAGCAGAGGCAGCATTGACACTAACATTAATTAGCACTGACAGTATCCCTGCAGGCATCCTTACAGTGGAGGCAACCATTATCCAATAACAGTTATGTTTGCTGAACACTGCAAGGTTGCTCAGATATCTCCTGCTTCTCTGAAAGCTTGTGAAGGGCACAGTTCTTCCTTGTATGGATGAACTTCAGGATTTTCACACTGGTATTTATCATTCTAAACCAATTCTCACAAATGAGAGAGAAAGTCTAGCTATAAAAGGTAGGAGACATAAAAATTATTCAGGCTATAAAATTAGGCATTAATGTTTTACCTTATTTGAGGTGAAATAATATGGGGTTTTAAAAATTAAAAATTGCAATCAGAATATAAAATAAAAATCATTAGTAAAAAATTACTGCATTGGAAAATGTGTTATCCTTGGGCTTGCAGATTAAGAGAACACTAAGCTTAAATGGGATTTCATCACATTAATGATAAGTATGTTGTGAAAAATTACCAAAGAATTCAGATTATTAGCTTTTAAAATAAATAGCTCAGTCAGCTAATGCTGATTTAATAGCTGATAATAACTGAATACCTACAAATAATGCCTTTTTGCATCCTCAAGATATTATTGTGTCAAAATTTGAAATTATTTTCTGAAGTTTTTTATTAAACCTTGTTTTATAACTCAGAGGCTTTAGAACTTTGAAATCCTGCTTTTGAAATAAAATTTACACAGTGTGATAATAGTGGGTAATTAAACATGCGCACACAGATACATGACACTGGGATGGAGAGACAGGGTACTTCATCCTTGGTCTTCTAAGACATCTCACACCATTTTAGAGGTATTTTGTTTACCATATTGATTTAGGCAGTAGAGTTTATCTAGTTATATAACTGACTGAGCATCATGTCTTCTCTTGATACTTCACTTGTTTCTGCTACCTCCAGCTGTCTGAGCATGCCAGTATCAGAAACACATGGCAAAAAATGCAAAAATGGATCAAACAGTAAAGGTTTTTCTGTGTAAAGGGGGGAAAAAGCTATAGGTACAGAATCATGAGAACTCTGATAATAAAGCATGATCAAAACAGTAAACTCATCCTTATCTGCAGCACCTTGAGAGTAACACTTGTTTAATTGTTGTAGTAATAATTAATGGCTGCCATCAACCAAGTCCTTGCTACAATCTTTGTATAAAAGCAAAGTGCTTTTATACACTTTTATACATCAGTATAAATGATGGGCACTCTGACAATAATTTCAAGTTTAATCAAGAACTGAATTCCAGAACAAATAGCAGTGGAAAATACAACTGATGATTTCTCTGAGGACATCACAGAAAGGAAAACATCTTCTTGAGAGGGCTCTTTGAGGGCCAGGGGGAGCACTCAAGTAAGACTTGAGACAGCTCTGTCATCAGAATTCTTTCTTTTCCCTTTCCACCATCCTTTTTTATTGAGGTTCCATTCATCTGTCACGGGCCAAGGCAGTATACAGCTAGGTGTCAATTTTCTAGGCACTTCTCCAACAAAAGATGATACATTTCTTCACCCCTCTACTGCAGAGTCTTTGCTTAGTGCCATTTTTATTTTTTTTTTAATCTTGAAAATTTGCATAACTATTCTCGACTAACAGAAATTTTTCATTAATAGAATTTCCTCTGATGTCTGTGGGTGAACCTTTAGTGTCACCCTTATCTGTTGTATATGTTCTCACCTAGCACTGAAAGCATGGGTTTTTTGACTAAATCTTGTAGTATCTTAGAGTTCAAATTAGACAGTATTATGTAAATACTCAGTGCTATTTTATATACATCTTTTGAGCAAAAGTTGAAGATAAAAATGCTTCAATTTTGCTTTGTAGCTTGCAAAGTGTAGTTGTGCTTTTGCTATCACAGTTTATATTGCTTTCCAGCAAGCTGTGGCTACCAGCAAAGGCTTAAACCCAGAAGGTCACACAAATATTCACTGTTATTTACATCAAGTGTAGGAGTGAACTTTGCCTTCAAAGCTAAGACCCCTCCAGGGCTTCAGGCAGTTCTGGTCTGCAGGAGAGACAGGTCAGTTGTTTGGACAAGATTCTTGACTCTCTTTATTTGCCTGGAGATTTTGCTGCTAAGTCATGGCTTTTTCATCATGCTAGCGTTGCACTCTGGTTTCAAAACAAAAGATCTTTCTAAGGAAGTATCAGTGTGCTAAACTACATTATAACTATGCTAAACTATATTAAGCATATTTGGAACTTTTTAATGTATTCTGTTACCTGCCTGTCACCTGTATTACTGGAGGTGGCCTATCTGTGTTATTTTTACCTTCTTTTTGGCCATTTTTCTAAAAAGACACTTTGTTCTGGGAGCTCATTTTACTGCTTGGATTTAATGCTGACTGACTTTGGAGTATTTGAGTATCTGACTCTGTCTTTATCTCAGAACTCTGTATTTCACTGTGTATTTCACAGCACTACCACTGCTTTATTTGCTTAGGGAGACTATACAGAATCGGATATAATTGCCTTTAATCTTTTAACTGTTAAGAGTTATTGTCTTTATTTTCAATATACAGAGACAACTGTGGCCCTGTCATGAGCCCAAGTACAGGTTCTACACAGCTGAAGTTGTAAATGGACACATCATGTTTTCAGAAATTTTATATTTAGATATGGAGGTAGTAATTTTTCTGTCTCCCTGCCTCTTGCACTTCTGTCATTTACATGTTTGTGTCCCATAAGCATTTCCTTAACCCTTTCCTCTGTGAACTGATTCCGTGTAATCAGGAATTATTTGGCTTATAAAAGCATACATAGCAGCATAAAAGAAAAAATGTCTTTGGCAAGCCTAAAGAAATTATCCTGTGTTTCGATCATATTTTATTTTTGAAAATAGTCTTTTATGGATTTAATAGAAAATTATCTTATTTTTTTGTATAGCTGAATATGTCACTTGTAGCTGCAAGTTCTTTATTTTTTAAAATTTCATAGCAATCTTGTAAAAAAACCCTATAAGTTTTAAAGGAGATACTACAGAACTATATCAGTATAATGGAATATTATTGGAGGTCTAAGATGAATCTGATCCCAAGTCACTGAGCAAAAGTCTTGGCTGTTTTTATTGATCGAGTAACCTTGTATTGTATTTCTGCTCTGCCAGTGCACTGTCTGAAACATAGCAAGTTATCTTCTCCTAAGTGGATTGAAGAGTGCTATGGGAGTTCAGCTGCTGTTTATTGCATTCTTAGCTGCAGCACAGAGGAGGAATCCTGGGAGGAAAGGATAGTTTTGATAAATAATTTATACTGTTTTCTTTAAGGTTTAGGGTTTTTTATAACTAGTGGAAAACTAAGTCGTGCTCTTTTGCTCTGTATGTGTCTTGGCAAAGTGGGAGAAAAGCAGAGTGTAATGGAGAAGAGCATACAATAAAGTTCAAGTCATTGAGCAAACTCTTCACCATATCCTGTAAGAATACAGTAAGGACAATTTTATTTAGAAATTTTCTAGGGAACTAAGTGGTTATCTTCCTGCAAGCAAAAATGTGTCCAGGAGAAACTGAGCTTATTGCTGCTTGTTTCTACCATGTTGTTCCATTTCAGATTGAATTACCAGGACACTGAATCTTTGAATCATGGAGTAGTTTGGGTTGGAAGGAACCTTACAGATCACCCAGTTCCAACCCTGATGCCATGGGCAATGACACCTTCCACCAGACCAGGTTGCTCAGAGTCCATCAAACCTGGCCTTGAACACTGCCAGGGATGGGGCAGCCACAGCTTCTCTAAATGTAGTCCTGCAACATAATGACATTTTTATATGTAACATTTAGGGAAAAAAAACCCAGACCACAGAAACTGCATTTTAAAAATAATTCTATTACAATTTGAGTCTGACTCTAAGAGGATAATCACCAGTGTCTAAGGTAATGCTGGCATGTCCCTTTCCACTGTTCAGGACAGTATCTCGTGCCCATAATGGGCAACACACTGCTAATTAATTAAATCCTGCTTACAACAAGTGTAAGCAGCAGAGTGGTAAAAGCTGTTGATGCAGAGCTAGTTCACTTCTATGTTAGTAGGAACTGCACCAGTATAAAAATTATAGATACAATACTAGAAAAATTCAACTTACATCTAAATGAAATCAAGACCTTTGACTGTTGTAATTTTGTGGAAGCAGAATTATGCCTTTCATGGGGTGACTGACTGACAAAGAATAGGTATCATGTAATGCAGTCCAATTATTTCAAATAACAGATTAATGGCTCTCCTGTTGTGTGGGTGGGATTGCCAGTCAGCCTATTTGCAGCTGATGGCAGGTGTGAATCAGGTTGATGGAGTAAATTTTCTTCTGCATGACCCTTCATGCTCCTCTTCTGCTCTATTATTTTGGTCAGTGGGTTGGTTTTATAGTGCTATGCTTTTCTAAAGGCACTAATACCCTTCAGCAAAAGGCTTTAAATTTTAATTAATTTAAAGAATTAGCATCTCACTGCAATGTCATTCTCAGGAGTCCTTGGTAAGCAAAGTGACCACCTAATAGACATATTTATATTTTCAACTGGATTTGTCAATTGTGTGGATTTCATTTCTGTGTAAGCTGAAAACTGTAAACCTCTGTGACTTTGCTTTTACCTCAGTGCCAGCAAAGAGGATGGCTGTCACATATTTGCCCAGCCACAGCCTTGTGAAAAAACTTGTATCCTCATCCTGGGGTTACACAAAAGTATATAATAATAGTTTTCTTTTCTGATTCCCCTTCCGCAGGTTCGTTGTGATAGTGAAATACAAGAGCTACGTCAGTGGCAAAAGAAGCTGAGACAGGAGAGGCACATTACTGAGGTAGTGAAAAAATTCTGGATTAAACAGGAAGCCAAAGGCAAGTGCATTAAATTGTGGGGTTGGTTGGCTTGTTTTTACACTGTGTTGAATTTTTATACTTTGAGTTGTATTAAAAAATAGGCCACACAGTAGGACACTAATCCTGAGAGAGAAGGTAATTCTGGTGGAAATGCTTGGCTGTTTCTTTACAGTTAATACTTATTCTACTTGAGTTGCCTGTGCAGCTGAAAGTGGCAATGAAAAATACAATATACAATTCAATAATTTCAGGAAACTATGAAAATTTGCTGGCACAGTGTTTTCTAGGGCAGGATTAGACACCTACCAGCTACTCATCATGTAAGGCTGATTTTTACCAGATGGGTTGTAGTACAGTTTTTCTAAACTGTCAGATTTCTATCCAGTAAATATTCTATTGGCACTTTCCTGTAGTTATTTACAGCAGAACTTGGCCTGTACAGATGTAAAAAAACAAAAACAAAAACAAAAAAAACCCAACAAACCCAAACAGCCTAAAAAATTGCCAAGGGAAATAAGGCCAGATTCCTTCAATAACTGACACTGTCATGTGCTATTTTTTTTTCCCTGTTTGTGGACAGGAGAGTGATAATTTTTGGTGATAGGAGTTTGTTACAAAGGCTGTGTAGATTCTCCAAACATTTATTTATATTTATGTTGCAGTTTTAATCTATGAAATATCAGGTTTTATTTACCAATCCTTGAAACTGCCTAAGGGATATTTTATAGCTGAAAATAATTAATTCAGAGGAAGAAAATTATACATCACAACTGGGGAAAACTGTGTTTATATGTGTGCGTGTATTATATGGGGTGTTCATATGCAGTAAGGGAAGTAGAATTCTTGGTTTTAGTAGCTTAGACCTAGAAGATTAAATCATGTAGTAACAGTGCACAAAAATTATGAAAAGATAAAATCAGTGAGACATTAAGTTGTCTTCTAGCAGACTTGACTTACATATAAAGAAAATTTTGGCACAGCAACCAAATTTTTCTTCAAGTGGGATTTCATAGCCTTTCTACTACAGTTTATTATGAGCTGACTTGGTAGAAAAGTGTAGGCATTTTTTTCTTTTTGAAAGAAAACACATATATCTGGATTCAAGTATCTGAAAACAGTGAACTCAGATTTCCTTTCATAAAATTATCCTTGTTATAAATTTAAAATATAAAAGATGAATTTTTCTCTTTGTAACACCTGGTTAATTTTGTCAGTGTTAATTGTTGGAGAATTGCATTCCTGGAGATAATGATAGAGGTTGACCTTGCAGGTTTGCTAATGCCTTTTAAGTGATTACAATTTAATGTTTGTGGCTTAGACTCTGTTTTCAATTTGTTAATATTTTTATCATCTCATCAAGGCATGTTTTTTCACTCATTCCATTGTCCATGGTACCAGTAAGAGATGCATGTTTCCCACTTCCAAGAAACAAACCTATATATTCACAATACAGCAATGTGAAAAAGGATTAATATGATTTTAGATGATTACACAGTCATAGCTTGCAGTCTTCATGCATATAAAATCTTAAAGGTGAAAATTACAAGTTCATTTTCAGACAAGTGAACCCATTCTCAAAATGCTGCAGTGAAGACAAACAGGGGTAAGGGTGGACTGTGTCATTTGACAGTTGAATTGATTAAAACTCCTGTGTCTGAAGAAATTTAATCTTTCTATATTTAAGTTGTTTTGGAGACTTATATAGTGATAAGACTTCCTTTGCCAATTGTTTCAAAAGGAAAAACAAATTTCCTTTTAATCACTCTCACAGAGCTTTCCTGTCATCAAATAATTTATTTTAGGACTGTAGAACACACAGCTGTTTCACCACTTCAAAGAAAGTTGCAAAATTGCCCCTTTTCAATTTTTTTTCCTTAAACCAATATAAGTTTATACTGCTTATATCACATCAGCTTTCAATATTATCACAGTGTTTCTGTAATTTCTTAACTGAGCTCTGCTAAGTTAAGAGTATCCACACATCAAATAGCCTTGGGGCCCAGACAGATGGCTATTTGGAAACAGCTGTACAAGTTTGAGAAGTTACTGTCCAGGGGTTTTCATTATCAATATCAGCTGTGATGTCATAATTCATCTTGTTAGTGCTCCAGCTGCTCTTTTTTCTGCTGTTATCCTCCTGCTGTTTATTAGTGTCGTTAAACCCTATTGCATTGTAAAGTCAGCAGGGTTAGTTTAACTGCTTTTACCAGTGGTTCCATCCAACCCAGCTGACTTCGTGCTGAAGTGGATTGTGAACACCCACACAGTAATGAATGGCATAACTCAACTACTTTTTAACTTTGTCTTTCTAAGCATTTGTTTCAACCAAATTAATTAATTTGGTTAATTCAATTAATCCCCTTTAATTAAACCACTGAACTCTTTGCATCAAGCAGACAAAGGATTTATTGTTACTAAAAACTCAGATATCACAAATAAAGCATTAAGATTCATGGTCAAAGGGAAAAAGAATAACATTTTTAAGTAGACACAGCATTTTATTGTGAAATTAACCACATTAGGAAATATAATAAAGGATCTCTTTAATTTGTATATGGCTGTTTATTAGATGCTGTAAACAGTGTTGAATCTAACTGTAGGGGATGAATGGTGAGCTGCCAAATAGCTTTTAGAAAATGATGACTCGAGCAGTAATGTGATTCTATTGACACTACTAGAAAGATCAGCATACCTTCCACGGAAATATCAGCCAAAGCCTCAGTTAATGTGAGCTAACAGGCAGAGTCTGCTTTCTTGGGATTTTCAGCACAATGAAACCTTATTGCAAGGGTATGTTCTAGGTAAAAACATAATTTTATGAAATGGTGTTTGTAGACAATACTCAAAAAAAAAGATAGTAAGAAGACATTAGAATTGTAAACTCATTGTAATTAACAAATCCAAGAAGTAATTCTTCATTTATTTTTCGTGTTTCAGAAAGTGCGTTAAACCACGTCCGTTAGTTTTGAAACAAACAGTTGAGTTTTCATTAGAACTAGAGCAGAATGAAACACTTGTGGAGGGTGTTCTGTTTTTGCAGTGGAGCCCAGGAGCCTGGTTTAGATGGGGAGATGCAGCCGCTGCCCCGTTCCGAAGGCAGCGCTGTGCCCCCGAGGCCGCTGCCATCCCCCGCTCCCTGCCAGCGGCGCTGCCGGCTGCCTCCGGCACGGTCCCCGGCTCTGCTCCCTCGCCCTCGGCAGGCTTTTCTGCTGGATCAGCCTGCCAGGCTCAGCCGGCAGTGACACCCTTTCCACCCACAACAAGGGCTGCGGGCAGCACACAGGCCGGGAAGGAGCCGGGCCGTGAGGGCCGCTCGCTGTGAGGCGAGCCCGGGGAGCTGCGGGCCCGGCTCCACAGCACGGCCAGCTCTCCCACTCCTCCCTGTGAAACCCTTCCGTCCTCTCTCAGTCCGGCTTTTATACTCTTTACTATTAGTTTTGCAAAGTGCTCTAGGATAGAAAGTGTGAAAACTGCATGAAAATCACTTTATGCATTAATAGCACCTTGCAGGACTGTTGACCTCTTTTAATGCATATGCTGGCAAAATTTCTTTCTGAGTGTGAAGAAAAAAGTGTGTTTCTTTCAGCATATATCCAGGATCATAAAGCTACAGCATTCTTGGCTGACATTTTATTTGCTATACTGCTCCACTGCTGTGTAAAATTACATTCCACAAAATGAACTATATTTAAGGTATGACAGTCCTTACTCTGAACAATTTCAGACTGAAAATGTAGAGATAAGCATAACACTTAAGACTCAGTTTAGTGGCTCACAGCTTTAGACTTGAAGGGAGAAAGAATTTTCTCTAGTATAGCACAGCTGATGGGATAAATTTGTTCCAGAATTTTTTACAGAATTAAAAAATCGTTTGCTTTCTACAGAAAATGCAGTTAATTAAAACTCAACCTCCAGAGAATGTGAGTGAATAGCAGATTGTGCTTCTGAGCACTGTTTTGTGCAGATTTAGTACTGATGGGACAGCACTGGAAAGGAAAAAGTGTCTGTCCTACAGTGCAAGGAATTTGTAAAGTATTTAAACTTTTTAATGAAAATACCAAAATCTTGGTTCATCACTTCTGTGACCAAAACACTCTGCTGACACTCTGTTGCAATGGTTACTTCTCTGCTGTTGGAAAGACTAATGCTGCTCTTACACAAACAGCACTTTCAGTTATGCTGTCCTAAGGGAATTTTTTCTTGTTCTTCTTATCTGCAAAAAAAATTTGTAACATTTTAGTTTTGAAAATCTTAGGGAAAATAGTAAAATAAATAAATAGTCCTGGGTTTATGGCAATACCTATTGTGACCCTATTAGCTGGCAGGTCTTATAAATCAACCATAGCCTGGGCTTTGCAAGGCACTTGAGTAACAGAGAAAGCACAGTGTGTGGAAAATGTAGTTAAATCAAAATAAGACAGAAAGTAATCTTCACAGCAGGTGAGGAGGGTGATTTCCAGATACAGGAGGGAATATTCTTTTACATTCCATTCAATTTTCAAGCTGTATTTTTCCTTTGGCAGTAGAAGTTATTACTTACCTATCTGGAGAGATTTGAAAAATACTTCTTTCGTGGAAACAATCTTTTCCCTTGGGAAGATGCATCCAGCAATACTCTGTAGAACTCAAAATGGAGGTGTTCTGGAAAATCCTTGCAAATATGAGTGAGATGAAAGGGAGAACAGGCTGCATATTTGTGGTGCTAGAGCAGGAACAGATGCATAGTGTCAAGAAGCAAAGAAATGCAGTTACTCTTTATACAGCTGTGATGTCTCCACCTGAATGATGAGGAAGGATTCAAAAGCTTAATATCAAGTTAAGCTGAACAGGGGAAGTCTAGTCTGCATACTTTTGAAGGATGCAATCATATCACATCAAAGCAGAATTAATGGGAGAAGAGAAAAATGCTAAATTCAGAACCAGGAAAAAATGGCTACACTGTGAAACTTCTTTAAATTCATTCCATAAACATCCTTATTATTGGGGGCCATAAATGAAGTTACAACCACATGCATGTTTGTAGGACTGAGTTGTTTCCCAGAGGAAATATTGAAGAGAGGATATCTTTGTAAATGTGAAATCTTACACTAGGCTTAAGAAAATATTTAAAATTACTGCAGGTAATAATGTTGGATTTGGAAAAGGCATAGTCCGAATAGCTAATGGATTTCTTAAAAACTGCATCTCTGTGGTTTATTTAGGAAAATTCAGCCCTGTAAAATATAAGGAATTAGTTTTATGTGAGAGTTTCTTTTTTCCCCCCACCACTTTCACCAAGGGTGGTTGAAATAATTGAGGAAGATTTTAAAATTTTAAAATAATTGTTTCTAATTTCATCTCCTTTTACTGCAGCTGTAATTCTTTAATTAATCTCATAGTGGAATTCTTTTAAGTGATGACCTCCTCATATTCTATGGTTTTACACTTTTAATCTGTTATATAAAAAATTAGATACACACACATATATATTAAGATCTTATATGTTGAATATATTTTTTCTAATAATTTGGTTTCAAACCAAGCTTTATAAACAGGTTAAAAGTGGAAGGTTTCTTGCTGTCACTAGGACACTGCACTTAAAATAATTTCACTCTACCTATTTCTAAAAACATGACTGTATTTACAGGTATTTGGTTTTTCTTTCTGAAAACAAAAGTGCTGCAGTCAAAATAGGGGCAAATATATGATTACTTTTGATTCAAAAGCACATCTATAAAATTTGACTTACATAGAAGAAGACATTAAAATTTCTATTTTTTTTTAAGGAAAAAAAAAAAGAAAATTAAAGAACAAAGCAGTACCAAAGGCCGAGTATGTGCTGGTGGTTTTCATCAAGCCTAATTCAAAATGCTTGAGATGTTTCTGAAAGTTTAATCTTGGCACTAACAGCTGAGAATGTAGTGATAAAAGTCATAAGACTCATGATACAGAATCCAATTTATTGGTCCACACCCTGGACTCAGACATCTTTGAAAATTTATAAAGATTACAGTAACATTTAATTTCTGAAACTACGTTGAGAATGTTTGAAAAAATAAAAAGGAAAGATGATCATTTAGATAAACTACAGCATGTGATCTTCTGAACTGTGCTTACACAGGCACAGCAGCGGGCCTGTGAGCACAAGTCTGAACTAATCCTCCAGTACCAAAGCTGTATTTTCACTCATCACTCTGCAGTTGTTAATAATCATTTGTAATGGAAAAAAAAGGACAATTGCAATTTGGTGATTTTTCTGTAATTATATAAACACCTTCTTTTTTGGTTTGTTTTTTCTTTTTTTATTAAGGAGAGGAGAAATTCTTCATGGGTTCTGCAATCTCCTTGGTTTCCCTTTTCTGCTTTTAACCTTAAAAGTGAAAAACATTGGAGCATTTTTATTAAAAATTCTGCCAGTGTTTTTTGTAAGCCATTTAGATAAGCAAACCCCAAATTTCTATTTATAACTCTGGGATGTGTTAGAAGCCTGGAGAAAAGGCTGTCACCAACTGAAAAAGAAAGTGTCCAAATAGTCCTGCAGCAAAACTAGATTTGAGACTCTTGGTTAAATAAAAAAAGGGGGGGGAAGTGGGGCAGGGAAAGGAAGACCACAAGGTGTTAGTGGAGTGTTAAAATACAACTCAGAGAACACAAAGAAGTGGGTGACAGATTGCAGAACACGGGAGCTGCTTGCCCTGACTCCCTTGAAACCCTCCCTGTGGCATCAGTCACCTGGATGTCTTTTCTGACATAACAGTTTGCTTTCTTACCTGATGCTTTGTTTTAGTCTGCACAAGAGTTTAAATTTGGTAACTTCACAGAACCTATCACATTTTTGCAAACTGGAATAATGTCAGAACTAAGAGGGGCTAATGGGTATAAATGCAGTTTTCATGAAGCTGCCCAGCAAATCTGGAATTCTGGGTTTCTCCCTGTAAATCCTCAAATGCTTTTAGCTGAGGACCTGCCACTCATGAATGATTTCTATTTCTGGTCAGTTCTTTCTGTTTCCATCATTCTCTTTTTCTGCCTTGACTATTTATATTGAAAAGTACTTCATTAATCAGATGCTTTGGAAATGTGCTGGTTGCCTTCATTCTGGATTTTCTTTTCCATTCAGGGTTGTGTTCCATAAACTGTTGTGTTTCTGTGGCTGTCTCTTCATAAATATCAGGTCATTGAATGATTTGGAGGACAATTGGATAATTGTAAGCAATAGTCTCCAGTACATCTAATTCTCTGAAGTTTTTTCTCTTCTGAGGTGTTCATGTCAGTTGCTCATCTACTCTAATACTTGTATCTTCCCATATTTCTCTTCTTTTTGTGCACCTTGAATTGTAAAAATGCCATTCAAATATATTCTAATGAATTCTGAGTCTTCCTGTCAAAATCAGAAGAAAGCAATGGTGCATTGCAGAAACAAATTCTGCTGGAGATCTTTCAGCCCTTATTTCCCATATGCATCGCTGAATGTTGGTATTTGGAAGTCTCCTGTATGTCAGCTCTTGCTTTGCTAATCTGATCCTAAGTGAATTAAAAAATGCCCTGAAACTTTTTGTCCTCTACAGTCATGAAGGCTAGACTAAGCATTTGACAAACTCTGTTCCTGATTTGGAGAATTAGGTTTGTCCTGTCCCTTTTAAAAATCCATTTTGCAGAAGCCTCTTCTGCTGAGTGATCCTCTAACAGTTCCATTTCAGATTAATGACTTGCAGGAGTGTCTGTGGGTATCATTTCCATTTTATCACTTCTTTGGTTAATATATCTGTATTCAATAGATCATTTTTCTATCACTAGTGACTGAATATTTCCTGGAGTGAAAGGTTTCACTAATAATTGTATACAGGCAGCCTTCCAATAGTAAGAGGCTAAAACTATAAATGCTTTAGAAAAAAACTGTCTCTTTAAAAGTCAGGTCTTATTTCGGCAAGATTGCTGGTGGCTCCAATTTCATGTTCAGGCTTCTTTGGCATTTCATTGGGAGGCTAGGGTGAAACTCATTTCTATATATATATTTTACTCTAAGCCCCTGCTAATAAGTTATTCCAATAGATTTTCTTTAATGGATTTTCATCTTCTTATAGTCTGAGTCTATAGTAGTTTTCATTACTGTTTTCAACTGTTTAAATTGCTAAATGTAGTTCTTAGAGTTTTGTGAAGAAGTGCACTCAATAAAGAGTGGGAGCATAAACCTTTCCTAAGCTACTGTCACAAGCCAGTTGTGTTAAACAGTAGTGCACAAAGTAGGTCATAGTTTATTCAC